GGGTCCCGAACCCAGAGCCTCCAAAACTCCTTAAGTAAGGAATATACCTTAAACTCTATTAGGGATCCTACTATGATTTAAGGTATATTCCTTAATTAAGGGGTTTTGGAGGCTCTGGGAACACATCAACAAACCCCATGCTTACTACAGAACCCTTCATAGGCATCCTGAAAAGAACTTCACAGCACAACCTGTCCCAAAGCCTCTTCTCATTTCTGGACGTTTGCAGCGCCAAGGTCGTCGACATGCAGCCGGAGGAAGTAATTTGCAGCATCAAGGTGTGCCGGGTGCTAGGGTTTCGTTGAGGCTTATGATGCTTCTGAAGGGTTTTGATTTTGGGCTTTGATAGGTTTTACACAGATTTCAACCAGCGTTTCTTTTTTTAACCGGGCTTAGAGGTGAATGTAGGAACCAGATTAGGGCCAAGAAGCCTGTGGTTCTTGTTAGGGTACTCCGAGTTTAGGGTTTAGGGGAGGGAGTCCTACAGTGATTTGGTGATGTAGATTCCTCGATGAAGTGATCTTGGATAGGTGTGGCATTTCTCAGCATGATTTCCCAGGTGTGAGCTTGTCCCACATTCAAGAGACGTATCCGTAAAACGCCCCAGCCGCGATGCAGGAACCTAATCATTAACTTTTCCTGCCGTGAGAGCTTTGAACCCCAAGCCTCCTCAAGCACCCTTGCAGACTTTTGGTCAGTCCTGATAAAGACTAGACCTTAAACCCGCAACGTCCCCAAAAACACCCTGCAGTGGAAGGCAGAAAGTTGGAACATCGTTGTCCTCATACCCTTAAGGTAAACTATAAAGGATCCTAGCACTAATCCTCCTAAAGCCATGTTCCAACTTTCTGGCTTCTACTTTAGCCGTAAACTCTAAACCTTATACTCCTAACCCTAAACCCTAAACCCTAAAACCCCTAAACCCTAAACCCTAAAACCCCTAAACCCTAAACCCCTAAACCCTAAAACCCCTAAACCCTAAACCTTAAACCCTAAAACCCCTAAACCCTAAAACCCCTAAACCCTAAAACCTCTAAACCCTAAACCTTAAACCCGTAACTTCCCCCAAAAACACCCTAGCGGTAAACCCTCAACTTCGGAGCTTCGGAGGTGCCGGCGCCCGAAAGCGACTTCGAGTTCGTCCGCTCCTTCAAACAGGCCCTTATATTCCTTATAGTAACCCTTGTAGGTCCCTTAAAGGAACCCTTTAAGGAACCTTACTTACTAAGTCCCATGATCCTCTAAGTACCTGGGGATCCAAAAACCTACCGTTTTAAGGGTCAGACCCTCTAATTAAGGGGTCAGAACCTACTATTTAGTAGGGTTTGGAGTCACAGGTAAGGCGTAGTCAGTTTGGGGTTTCAGGTTTAAGCCGTAGGAAGTTTAGGGTTGGCGTAGGAAGTTTAGGGTTTCGGGTTTAGGGAGATTTTCGGTTTTAAGGTCGGGGGCGCAAGGCTTCGGGTTTAGTGGTTGGTGCTTATGCTTCAAGGTTTAGGGCTTTTTTTAGGATGCTTTCTTGACGTGTTGTTTTACTGTAACTCCCTGGGTTTTGAGGGTTTTGATAGGGCCTTCGAAGGTGTTACCGTTGAAGAGCTCTGTTGGGTCCACTTCTGAGTCCTTTACGGGAGATCCTTGTGTCAGAGGCCGTACAATCCCACCGCGCCCACTCTCGGACCTAAACCTTAGACTGTAGGTTTACAAGTCTTGGAATTTTGGGAGTTGTTCCGCCGCAGCCACTCAATCCTTGACGCCGGGAGGATTAGTCGTGCGGTTTAGGGTTCAAGGAGCTTCAAGACTAAAGGCTGTAGAAGCCTAAAGACCTTGGATGCTTAATTCTGAACCTCAAACCCTACGCCGCACACTCGCTTTGTGTTGTTTGCTAAACATCACAGGGTTTGAACGAGGTGTTCGAGGTTTCGCCACTATCAGTTGGTACTTGTCAATTGTTATTGGAGTCGTTCTTAATGACTAGTGACTAGTATGAATACGATCATAACCATCAGTGTTGCTATCCTGATTATTCACCTCGGTATTACTTTCCTGGTGATTTCCTAGCAAGACTTTGGATTGTTCGTGCTGCTTGAAGGATCAGGTGACGGAGCAACTAGGTTGTCAGTAGAGTTCAACTTCGCCTGATTGGGATTACTGCACGTATATCCTGACTTAAAGCCTCCAACCCGAAGCCCTAAACCCTAAACTTCCCTAAACCCTAGATACTACGTCCCCAGACCCTTCAAGGGCTTGTATTCTCAGGACACAAGGCTTTTCGGCTCCATGCATTCGCCAACGCCATGGCATTCCCCCCAACCCTTAGCCGGGTAACTCAAGGAATCCCCACTTAGAGGATCATGGGACTTCGTAAGTAAGGTTCCTTAAAAGGGCTCCTTAAAGGGATCCTTAAAGGGTTCCTTAAAGGGATCCATAAGGGATATATGGGACTTCGTAAGTAAGGTGATAAGTACCTTAATTAGGGTTATAAGCAGTTCAATTATAAGTATAGTTACCTTATTTATAACCCTTAGTCACTCAGTCCCATGATCCTCTAAGCAGCTAATACAGGGAGCCTTAATTGTTTGAAAAGCGCTTTGGGGTGTACAAAAGTAGAACTACGCAGGAAAAAAACCCTAACCTAAACCCCAAGACCAAAGCCACACTATTATTCCAAAGCCCGAAACCCTAAACCCCAAATCCCCAAACCCCGCCAAAACCCTAGACCCTAAACCCCGAAGCCCCTACATCCTGTGGATTTCTATGGGCAGATGGAAAAAGGCGTTCAGAAGAAAGCAAGAAGCCCCTACATCCGAAGCAACTCTGGAGCATGGGCTCGTGATGTTGGCCATCTTGGATCTCTTGGGCGGCCGAGGGTGCCTTGCACCCGAGGAGACCCCCGAGACGCCTTAGATCCCTTTAAAGGGATCTGTTCCTTCAAGGGATCTATACTTGGAGGATCATGGGACTTAGTAAGTAAGGTTATAAATTGGGGTTATAAGTAGTTATAAGTATAGTTACCTTACGTCTAACCCTAGTTACTAACTCCCATGATCCTCGAAGTAGGGTTTGGGGTGCCCAGATTCCAATATTCCCTTAAATTTAGGAATATTCCTTAAATCAAAATCAGGGATCCTATTATGATTCAAGGTATACTGATTAATTAAGGCACATTGGAGTCTTGTACTTAGGGACTACGCAACATGAGGGCTCCAGGGAGTTACGATAGGGTTCGGGGCTTTGGGTTTAGGGTTAGGGGTCGGAAGAAGTATTATACAACAGTCTTCCCTTCAAGTCGTTATACAACTGTTCGTATGATATTAGGCCCCCCAAAAGGCCTTGTCACTAGTCTAATTGCTAAGGCGCTTGTATCAGCTGGCAGTCTTGAAGTAACCAAAAGCCCCCCTCCCGACCAGTACTATGGAGGCGCCGATTTGAGGCAGATCCCTGAACGTGAATTGCATTTGGTTGTTGTTGTTTTTCTGTCGTCCTTCTAGTCTTTCTACATAGGTTCTACATTATGTGAGGTTTCTCGCGTTTTCTGAAATTCTTCTTAGGGTGTAGGGTTCAAGGGATTCAAGGCTTCAAGGGCAGTACGCCTTGTCGTAGGTGGGGAAGCCTAGGGTTTAGGGTTTAATGCTCGAGTTGGTGCGGAGCTTTGTCGGGGATCCCACACTCGAGTCGGTACGGATCCTTTCTTCCGTGACGATGAAGGGCTCCTCATCTTGCAGGTTCAGCCTTTCTCCCACATTGGCAACGGCTGGGAGTGTGCGCGTGTCTTCAACACGGAAGCCCGCCCATACTTTCGTGCACGTGCCGGGCAGCACCTTGAGACGGTTATTGAAGTCCCACTCTCTGGCATTTCCGAACCGTCGTTCCTCTGGGCATCGCTTGCCCTTGGCCAACTCCATAGACGTTCAGTGCCAGACCATGGATTCTGACGACCATGCCAATGTGGAAGGTGCACCACAGTCTGCAAGGAGGGTTTAGGGTGTAGAGTTCGGGGTGTCGGGCGTCGTTTCTGGTTTAGGGGTTAGGGTTAAACCGTAGGCCTTGAACCCTAGCCGCTCAACCCTAAACCCTAAGCCCTCACGGCAATCTACGGTAGGGATTGAGGGCTTGATATGGTTAGTAGGGCATGGAAGACTGGTAGGTAGTAATGGTAGCTATACTTGTACCCCATTCCTCCATCCCGAAGCGTTACGACGGAATCCATATGGGTAGTTGTCAACATTATGGTCCCTTTTTGGGTCCCTACTAGTAGTATAGTGCGGCACCTGATATTTAGGGTACCCAAAAAGGGACCATAATATTGACAACTACCAATATGCCCTTACCGGAACCGTTTCAAGCACCTTCCCAGGATCCCAGGACACCCAGAACCTTTCCTTGAAGTACCTAAACCCCTAAACCCCTAAACCCTAAACCCCCTAAACCCTAAACCCCAAAGCCCTAAAACCCCCAAACCCCTAAAAACCCTAAACCCCCTTAGATGACCCTGGGAACAAAACGCAAAGACGCTAAACCTAAACCCGGAAGCCCCAAACCCTAAGTCCTAAATCCGTCAAGCCCTGAGCACTCAGCCCTACACCTTAAAGACCTAAGCCTTTTCGCGCCCCCTTGAAACCTTGAACTTAAACCCCAAGCCCCTTAACCCATGAAGCCTAAACTCTAAACCCTTTACCCCAGAACCCGAAACTCTAAAACCCTAAACCCCAGCCTTACAGGAACCCCTAAAGGAACCCGTAAAACAACCCTATAGTATCGTTAAAGGAACCCTAATTCTTGGCCTTAAACCCAGACCCCCGGGGGGATCTAGAAAGTAGATCCCCTAATTGGGGGCCCTATACTACTAAGCGTACTTCATAGGAACCCCCATTAAGGGATCTACTTTTGGGAACCCTAATCCCTAAACCCTATAGATCACTTAAATGGACCCTTAAAGGAACCCCTAAAGGAACCCCCATTAAGGGATCTGCTCTTTGAAGCCCTAATCCCTGGCCCTTAAACAGGACATCTGCAACCTGGGCGCCGTCAGCTCCGAGTGGAGCACCTTCGCCTCCTCCGAGGCGCAGCTTACGGGGGCCTTAGGGTTCCTTTAAAGGGTTTAGGGCTTGTTTGAGGGTTCCTTTAAAGTTAGGGTTCAGGGCTTATTTAAGGGTTCCTTTAAAGTTAGGGTTCAGGGCTTATTTAAGGGTTCCTTTAAGGCTGGGGTTCAGGGCTTATTTAAGGGTTCCTTTAAGGCTGGGGTTCAGGGCTTATTTAAGGGTTCCTTTAAAGTTAGGGTTTAGGGCTTGTTTGAGGGTTCCTTTAAAGTTAGGGTTCAGGGCTTATTTAAGGGTTCCTTTAAAGTTAGGGTTCAGGGCTTATTTAAGGGTTCCTTTAAGGCTGGGGTTCAGGGCTTATTTAAGGGTTCCTTTAAGGCTGGGGTTCAGGGCTTATTTAAGGGTTCCTTTAAAGTTAGGGTTTAGGGCTTGTTTGAGGGTTCCTTTAAAGTTAGGGTTCAGGGCTTATTTAAGGGTTCCTCTAAAGTTAGGGTTCAGGGCTTATTTAAGGGTTCCTTTAAAGTTAGGGTTTAGGGTTTATTTAAGGGTTCCTTTAAGGCTGGGGTTGAGGGTGTTAGAGTTTCGGGTTTTGAGGTAAAGGGTTTAGGGTTTAGGGCTCGTGGTTCCTTGAGGGGTTCCTGAAAGGGTTCCTTTAAGCGTTCCGGGTTGGCACATAGGGGGCTTACGGGTGTCGGGTTTTAGGGGTTTAAGGTTTTGGGGTTTTAGGATGCCGCGGTTTAGGGTTTAGGGTTTAGGGGTTTAGGTTTAGGGTTTAGGGGTTAGCCTGGGGCTTCGAACATTGGGGCCTCAGTAATTGAATAGGGTTGCTTGGCGGTTGCTTTTAAAGTCATTCAAAGGGGAGAAGGAGGGACCCTTAATGGGGACCCCTACCCTATAATGGGCTATATGATGGGCATATAATAGCTATGTTAAGGGTATATACCTAGTTGTCCTTATTAAGGGTCCCTCCTTTTACCCTTGGAGTCATCATGTGTTTCTCGGTGGTACAACTTTTGCTTAAGACTTGAAGTGGCTAAACGGTCGAACATACAGGGCTTCATGGTCTGCATGGGGTTTGTTCGGCCGTTTCTAAAAGGGTTCTCTTGAGGGTGGAATGAAAGTTTCCTATAGGGTTTCAATTTAGGGGCAGGGTGGTGCGGTAGTTTATAGTACAACTACATGACGGGAGCTGCTTTTTGAGATTTTTTGGGTTACGAAGCTGCTTTACTGCTGAACGTTGTAGGGTTGACGGTATTGAAGGTTTGGCGTAAGGTGTGACTCAGAGTCGAGGGTAGCAGGTTTCTGGCCTCGGATATTTGGGGTTCCTCGGGGTTTGTCCAGCAGCAGTCTCAGAAATGCTAGTATGTCAACGAACTCGTGAGCAAGTGCACAAGTGAGTGATGGTAATCTTTACAGTAGTACTATAGTAACACAAGTGCTAGGTAATTGGCGCGTCTTATTCTAGGACCTAGAGTAGGCCCTTATTCCCTTTTTGAAGGTTTAGGTTCCCTTATAAACCCCTTTAAACCAAAAAGGGCACCCTTTTTATTACTAGGTTACTCTTAGGCCTAGTATTGTCACTGTCACTGTTTCATCTTCGTCCTATTGCTCGGCCATTCGTCGTCGCGCCTCGTCGTCGCCGTCGTCATCGCCGTGGTCGCAGTCGTCGTCGTCGTCTTGTCGTCTTGTTGTTGTCGTTGTGATCGTGCTGCTTTGCGCGTGTCAGTTGTTAGCGAACCAATCCTCCTGAGGCTGTTTGGCTCGTCTTGAGCCGCACGGTTCACTTGCGCCTCTTGTCTGAGAGCCAAGTGAGGTTCTAAACAATCCAAGGGGAAAGGAGGGACCCTTAATGGGGACCCCTAGATACCCTATAATGGGCTATGTAATGGGTATATGATAGCTGTATTAAGGGCATATACCTAGGGGTCCTTATTAAGGATCCCTCCTTTTACCCTTGGAAGCAAAGGGGATCCAAGGTAGCTTGTCGTGTTCCCATCGCGGATTACTTTGAGCTCTTCGACTAGTTGAGTTGCATCTCAAGGGAAAGCTGATCTTCAGATTAAGCCCCAAGCCACAATTAAGACTTCCCAAGCTGTACACACCCAGAAAGCCTTCAAGCCAAGCCCGCCACTCTAAATCCTAAGTTCTAGATCCCAAGCCCACGCGTAAACCCCCAAACATGAATTTCGGACTTTTGAAGCCCAGCAGCATACTTTAAGCAGAAGCCCTAAACCCTGAACCCCAAATTAGGGGTCGACGCCGGGTCGACACCCCATGCTCCGGCATTATCAGTTTCTGATTTCGATTGTCCGAGCTTCAGCAGGGCCATCAGCTTATCCCGGGGTTACTCTACTTGGTGTGTGCAGGGACCCTCACAAGCAGGATTCGAGACGCTTCGGTTACTCTACTTCTAACCCTACTTACAACTTACTTGCAAAGAGTACCCTGACCCTTCAAGGAGGGAGCCCTCTCAGTACCTTGTGCAAAACCCTAAACGCTGAACCCTGAAGACAGTGTGAGAACCAACCCTAAGCCCTAAACCCTAAACTCTGAACCCTAAGCCCGAAATTCTGAATCCTAAACCCTAAACTCTGAACCCAGAACCCTAAACCCCAAACCTTCGAGGCTACACACTCTGGTTCCACAAACTTACCGTTGGTTAGTAGGAAATGGAGGAATGGGGTACACTTGTAACTACTGTTACTACCATTCCTCCATTCCCTACTACTAGGACCTAAGGTAGGCCCTTATTCCCTTTTTTAGGGTTCAGGTTCCCTTATCAGTCCCTTTAAACCAAAAAGGGCACCCTTTTTGTTCCTAGGTTACTCTTGGGTCTAGACTAGGTAAGTTATAGGATTATTAAGGCCCCTATATTATAGTACCCTTATAGATCCCTTATAGTAACCCTTATAGACCCCTCTAAAAAGGCCCCTTCCATTCCCTACTAACCAAAGCCCTAAACCCTAAACCCTAAACCCTATTCCCTAAACCCTAAACCCTATTCCCTAAACCCTAAACCCTATCCCCTATCCCCTACACCCTACACCCCAAACCCTAAACCCTAAGCCAACGGTAAGCAAACCCGAAGCCTTGAACTCCGAAGCTCAACGGTCCCAAAACCTCGACCTCTTCGCTCCGATTTTGAACGCCACTGACGGTTTAAGGGTTTAGGGTTTAGGGTTTAGGGTTTAGGGTACTAAGCCCTTTATGGTTCCTTAATTATGGAATATACCCGAAATCATAGTACTAAGCCCCTTTTTAGTTTATATGCCTCAATTCCAAAACTCTGTCATCCTGGGAGACTGAAGGATTTAGGTTAGAAGCTGCCCCCACCCTGTAATAGTGGTATAATAGGAACATAACAGGGCCCTAATATAATCCTCTATAATCCTTATAGTCACTATTACAGGGTGGGGGCAGCTTCCAAGATTTAGGAGATGTTGGGAGTCTCCGAAAATAAGAGGTACCTTATTTTTGGGGTCCTTACACGAAGGATCCTATTATTTTAGGGTGCGATATGAGGGTCCCCTATTTTTTGGAAACTCCCATGTTGGGTGTCCTTTCCAGCTTTAGGGAGGCCCCCGATTGAAGGACTTAGTATATAAATACAATTGAACGAAGCCAGATAAAGCCCTGGTTCCTGGTCCTGTAGATTGCGTTTTGCAACCCTGAACCTTAAACTCAAGACGAAGGGACAGCAAACAAAAAAAAACTCAAGACGATGGCCTCGACCCCAAGTTCATCCCTAAACCCTAAACCCTCTGCCAAGGCCCTCTGCCAGCGGCTTTAGCAGGAGACAGCGAAGAAGGCGCTGGGAAGGGGACGCGTACACTGAGACTTGCAAGCGCCTTAGCACCTTACTTGGAGGGTCGGGGGACTTAGTAAGTAGGTAGTAAGTAGACTTATAAGTACCCTAAAAGGGACCCTAATTGGGGTTATGGTACTTAGAAGTCCCTGAAATAACCAGTTACTAAGTTCCCCGACCCTCCAAGTACTGAAAGAGCTCAAAAACCTTGATGAGTGAATATGTAAGTCAGGGCATGATCATTGCTGCTACCATATATGGTGATGTCAGAAAGCACCTCAACACCCTCGTCCATGTCTTAACCCCAAGCCCCAGACTCACGCAAAGTCCGTAACTCGGTTTGCAAAACCTTCTTGGCTTTACGGGACATAATAGAAAGGTCGGAATGATTATCTCTGCATATTACCTGAACCTGACGGCCTATTGCACTTATACCTTTTCGGAAGCATTGCAAACGCCGGTATATACACCCATAGGAACCCCATTCTCATTCTTTGAGGTCCCTATGTACAAAAACCTTCTCGAGCCTTCGACCCCTCATAGAATCCTTCAAGGAATCCTTCTGGGTGGTTGTCAAAACTATGGTCCCTTTGTGCGTCCTTATTATAGTACGGCACCTAATATTCAGGGTACCCAAAAAGGGGCCATAATTTTGATAGCTACCCTTATAGAGGCCCTACTGCAACCCTCTTCGAGTTGTGAAGGCCCTACACCCTACACCCTAAACTCCCAAACCCCAAACTCCATACTCGAAGCCCTAAGTCCATACCAAAGAGGGACCGCCAACGCAACGTTAGAACAAAAAACCTTAACCCTAAACCCCTTTACCCCTGTAGGAACCCTCTTATAGTAGCCCTTGTAGAGCCCTTAAAGGAACCGTTTCCGTAGCTATAGGAACCCCCTTTTGGCCTGCAACTTCTCGATCCTCCTCTCGTGCTTCTGCGCCAGGCTGGGCCAAAGAGCCTCAAGCGATGCCCTCAGCTGTGGTTTCTTTAAAGGGTTCTATGAGGGGTCCTTAGGGTGTAGGGTTTTGTCTCGGGTTCTATTTATGAGGGGTCCTTACCGTGTAGGGTTGCTTAAAGGGTTCTATGAGGGGTCCTTAGGGTTTAGGTTTGGGGTTAAGGTTTAGGGTTGAGGGGCTTTGGGCTTAAGTGGCGTTTAGGGCGACCCGGGTCCCCGGCCGCGGCGGCTACGGGACGAAGAATCGGTCGCTCCACCGTCAGGATCACCGCCCAGGAGCGCTGGGACCGGTACCGCCAGCCAAAAAACCGCCCGGGGGCGGACTTCATGGAGGAGGAGCTCCCCGACACCCTCGTGGGGGGGGGCGTCGACAGCGGGCGGAAGCAGAGGAGTTGGAGCGGCGCGTGGCGGATGGCACCGCCCACCTGCCGCCGAATCCCACCGTCGTGGGCATCCTCTTGCGCCGGCTCCCGTCGGGCGTCAGGGGCGGCCCTCTGCCAAGGGACCCGCCAGAGCGCGGCGTTTAGGGATTTGGGAATTAAGGGGTTCCTTTTGAAGAGTGCGCAAGGGTTCTATTGGTTTAGGGTCTAACGTTCAGGGCTTAGGCTATGAGGGTTCCTATAAGGGTTCCATAAGGGTCTTTTACGAGTTCCATGAAGGATCCTGTCCCCAGGTGTCGGCTCGTTTACAGTTCGAACGTTCCGATTCTCTTATCATCCAAGTCAAATGCAGCATCCTGCCATTGAACAAGATCATTGAGATAGAGATATACTTCAACGTCTTTACGAAATACACTAGAAGTGACGCATTCTAAAAAAGGGTTCCGTTAAGGGTTGCTTTAAGGATTCCTTTCAGGCTCAGAAAGGGTCACGTCGGGGTTTCGGAGGCCTTGCCAGGTCGAGGAATGCTATCGCGTGTGTTTGTGAACGGTTTAACCAGGTTTAGGGATTAGAAAGGGTTTGTATGGGCTTCTACAAACGCTTTGTGCAGTTTGTCGGGTTTTTTCATCGGCTTTACTACAACAGTTTCACAAAGAGCATGGCTCCTGTACGGGCTTCGTCGGGCATATAGTGCTATCACTCTCTTTGCCTTTCTGCATATGATTATACCTGTATATATATATATATACATATACACACCTATGCGCATACATTACATTTTATTGATTTCCTTACATTGCATTACATTGCATCACATTGCATTACATTGCACTGCACTGCATTGCACTGCACTGCACTACATTGCAATGCGCTGCATTGTATTCCATCACATTACATCATATTACATTGCAGTACAGTGCAGTACAGTACATCGCATGACTTTGCATTACATGTGTTTGTTTGTTTGTTGATTTATTCTTCGTTATGTTGAGGATTTGCATGGGTGGCTGAAGTTTCAGGCTACAGGGGTTTAGGGGGGGTTTTGGAGTTTCGGGATTCGAGTTTAGCAGGTTAGGGGTTTGCAAACCGTGAACCATAACTTGCCTAGGCCCTAAACCCCTAAACCCCTAAACCCCTAAACCCTAAACCCTTAAACCCTTAAACCCTAAACCCTTAAACCCTAAACCCTAAACCCTTAAACCCTAAACCCTAAACCCCTAAACCCTTAAACCCTAAACCCCTAAACCCTAAACCCCTAAACCCCTAAAACCCTAAACCCTAAACCGTCCTAGACCCTAAACCCTAAACCGTCCTAGACCCTCAGGCCCTGAAGAGCCAACTGCTGCAAGAGTACATTCCCACCTTCGCCGTCCGCCAGCGCATCCGCCAGCTTTGCCGCCGTTTGAAAGGCTCGCTGACGGGTTCCTCAAGGGTACTTGAAGGATCAGGGGACTTAGTATGTCGGTTATAAGTAGGGGTATAGGTACGGTGACCCCAGTTAAGGGACTTATCAACCCACCTACAACCTACCTACTAAGTCCCCTGAGCCTTCAAGTGCTACACGGGTTTCCATACGGGTTCGGGTTTAGGGGTTTGGGGTGTGTTAGAGTTGGGATTCTTGGGTTTGGCGTTTAGGGTTTGGAGTTGGGGCGTTTAGGGTTTGTGTTCTGATAACGCTGGGGTTTAGGCTGTGGGATGTCAAGCGGCTTAGGGTTCCTTTAAAAGTTCCTTCGCCCAAGCCCCAACGATAGATCTAGATCCAGGACCTGTCCACCGCCAAACACACGCAAGGCACGAAGTAGGTTTTGTTGTTCATAAGGCAAAAGGGCGTTCCAAAGCTGTCGAACTCTGGATGTTGTCAGAGTTCACTTCAAGGATCGCTGCAGCCCTCAACCCTACACCCTAAACCCAAAACCCTAAACTCTCTTCAACATGGGATGTGCCTCTTTTACTAGTGCAAGCCCAAATTGGGCAGGGAGTCGGCAGAGTGAAAGTCCCAATGCACCCTTAAAAAAAAAAACCCTGAACCCCAAAACCCTAAACCCTAAACCCCTAAACCCTAAACCCTGAACCCCTGGAGCGCTCGCTTTAAACCCCGGAGCACCGCCCCTAAACCGTAAATCCCTTAAAGGACCCCTTAAAAGAACCCTGAGCCCTAAAAACCTTAAACCCTGGTATATTGTACCCTTATAGTACCCCTTAATAAAGGAACCCCCGGAGCACCAAAAAACACAAGAGTAAAACAATTCAAAATCAAAACAGAAACCCTAAACCCCAAGCCCTAGAACCCTTAAAGGATCCCTTAAAAGAGCTCTAAACCCCAACACCGCCCCCGGGATGATCCCTCAAAAGAGCCCCAAACCCTAAACCCTAAACCCTAAATCCTTTAACCCTAAACCCTAAACCCTAAATCCTTTAACCCTAAACCCTAAACCCTAAACCCCTAAGCCCTAAACCCTAAACCCCCCTGGGAGGTTTCTGGCTCCTCTACGCTCCGCAGGTCGCCTCGTGCCTGCGCCCGGGGGCCTCGGAGGCGGCGCTGAGGCCGATTTGAAGTAGGGCTTATATTACCATTTTGGTGAGTGTAGATAGGGCTCCAATTGAATTTGGTGAGTGTATGTATTGGGATTTATTATGGGGATACTAGTAATATAAACCATACTCTATTTCTGAGGGCTTTTGGGGTCCCTTTAAAGGGATCCCTTTTAAGGTTTCCTTAGCGGGATCTATAAGGGTTCTAGAAAAGGGTTGAGGGTTTAGGGTTCAGAGTTTCCGAAAATTCGGGGTTCCTATAAGGGATCTATAGGGTATAGGGTTTAGGGTTTAGGGTTTAGAGTTTCCGAGACTAAGGGGTACCTTACTTTGGGATCCTTGTAAGAAGGGTCCTACTATTTAGGGTTCTATATTATTAGGGTCCCCTGTTTTCCGAAACTTCCATTTCTGAGGGTTTTTACGGTCCCTTGGAAGGGTTCCTTTCAGGGTTCCTTGCAGGATTCCTTCAAGGGTTCCTTTAAGGATTCCCTAAGTGGTTTAGGGTTTTAGGGTGTAGGGTTTAAGGGTTTAGGGCTTAAGGGTTTGAGGGTTTAGGGTTTCTGTTTTGATTTTGAGTTGTTTTACTCTTGTGTTTTTTGTTTTTGCTTTTTATGGTTTGTGTTTGAGAGGCGGAAGTGAGTGTCGACATTGCGTGCTGTGGGTTGCGAATACCGCTGTTTTGGATGCTTGTCTACCTGCACTCGGCTAGTGTGGCGGTGTTTGCAGTTCTCAAAGTTTTTTGCGTCTGTGCAAAGACTACCACAGGCAGACTTGCGATTGCGCCAAGTCTCCGCAGCAATTTCTCCAGTAGTCTTGCCTTGGGTTTCAGAGGGCTTTCGACTAGCAAGCCCAGACTATGCCAACAGTGCATCTCAGAACTGTAATCCAGCTGTGAAACAACGCCGAGCCCTCGACCTAAAGATTCTAAGGCCGGTAGAAAACATGTGGGTAGTTGTCAAAATTGTGGTCCTTTTTCGGGTACCCTAAATATTAGGTGCCGTATTATATCAGGGATCCCGTAAAGGGACCATAATTTTGACAATCCCCCATGTAAGAACCTCATGAAAAAATCAACAAAGCAGAACCCTTGTAAACCTTGAGGTGGGCTCCCGAAACGGATCGCAGAAGCCTTCGGCCACTATTCCCCCCCCTTGCAAAAAAGGCATGCGGAGAATGAGGTCAATGGAGAGCTACCGGAGGACATGTTTGAGGTTTTTGTGGGTGTGGACAAGGGAGGCCCGTCAAAATTCCTCAGGGTCTAGGCGGGTTTAGTGTTGTGTAATTAGTTGGGGTCTGCATTTGTCGGTTTGTACGAAGGGTTATAGGATCCATACGTATAAGGCTCCAGCTTGCTTGATTACAGTGAAGGCCAGAATCTCGGAACATGCAAACCTGGTTTCCGGCATGAGCCACACCGGAAGAGCAAGTCTTGTTCCAACTTTACAGACCCTAAACCTTAAACCCTAAACCCTTTGCAACTGCGGACTGTGCACAAAGCATCACCAAGTTGAGAGCAATGCTAGCACAGACCGAACGCCAACTTGAAGTCGAGGGAAACAGCGGCACTCGAGACGAAGATCAAGTGGAGACACCACGAAACTTAGAAAATGAGTCAGTGGAAGACCAATGCAGATTGATTCTTGAACCTACCCCAGGTGAAGAAAACCAGACACTTATGAAGGCAACATGCGCAAAACAGAAGCGAAGCTCTGACATATCAAAAGCTGCGGCTGTGCAACTTTCGTGCTAAATCCATCACACATTTCCAAACCTCCAACCTCCTACCCTAAACCCCAAACCCTATACCCTAAACTCTACAGCGTGAGCCTCACGAGTTAGGGTTCCAGGTTTTTGGGTTGAGGGCTGAACTCCAAAGCTCAAAGCCTACGGATGATGATATGAATCTTGCATTACCTTAATGACCCTAGACTATCGGAATTATGGTATCTTTCTACTTATGGGTAATGCAGGGTTTATATCATCCATCGTAGGGGCTACCTGGACCTCACAAAACCTTTATATTTGAGGACTTTATATGAGGAAGTCAAAATACAGGAACCTTAAACAGGTAGGTGATCTCAAATTCTAAGCCTTTGACCCTGAACCCTCAACCAACTTTTTGTGCCCCGATACATGCTTTGATACGCAATGCACAGAAACCCATGCTTGGAGTATCATGGGACCGGACTTAGTCAGTGAGGTTATTCCCTTCATTGGGGTTGTAGGTATAGTTATAAGCATAGGTACCTTTACTTCTTTCACTAGTTACTAAGTCCCATGATCCTTTAAATGGAATCCTTATAGCAAAGATTATGGATCCCTTAAAGGAGCCCTTGAAGGATCCCCTAAGTAGGGTTTCGGGGGTCCCCAAACTCTGAACTATCTGGTCGGAGGATCTCGCAGAGTTCTTCCGCTTGTGCGACGGTTTCGACAAGGAGGCTCCTTTGTGGGCACCGGTTCCAGGAAGTCTATGGTTGAGACCCCAACCTAAATCCCAAACCCTATACCTAAACCTTAACCCTCAAAGGGAGCCCCGAAACCCCCCAATCCTGAAACTTATTCCTAAACCCTTAAACCCTAAACACTTATAGTGCCCATCCAAAAGGGAACCCTTCAAGGAGCCCTTAAAGGAACGCCTCAAACCCCCCAGGCCTTCTACTTTGCGGAGCCTTTAAAGCCTTAAAGGATCCCAACGGCCCGAAACCCTAAACCGTCAACCTTAAGCCCTTACTTAAAGGATCATGGGACTTAGTAAGTAAGGTTAGGGTTCCTTAAAGAGCTCCTTTAAGGGATCCATAAGGGCTAGTATGAGAATTTTATTAGGGGTTTTGGGGTACTCAGAGGATCATGGGACTTAGCAAGTGAGGTTATAAGTACCTTAGTTGGGGTTATAAGTATAGGTACCTTACTTATAGCCCTAGTTACTAAGTCCGATGATCCTCTAAGTAGCCCTTAAAGGGAGCCCCTTAAACCCTCGGCGAGGCCTTCTACTTTGCGGAGGCCGCCCCCGGCGGAGTATTGGCCTTCCGCGTCACCCGGCTTCTGCCACTCTCGGAGCTGGCCCGGTTTCGGGGGGGGGGGGGGTCGTTTAGGGGATCCTCCTTAGAGGCTCCTTGAAAGGTTCCTGTAAGGGGTTCCGTTAAGGGTTCCTTTAAGGGCTCCTTTAAGGGATCTTTTGGGCAGTCCCGAGAGGTTTGCTTTTCAGGTTCAGGGGTTCAAGGGGTTTGGTTTAAGGGGTTTAGGGGCTTGGGGTGTTCAGGAGGTTTCGGGGGTTCGGAGTTTAGGGGTTTAGGGTTTAGGGTTTCCTGAAGGGCTCCTCCTTGAAGGGATTCTTTAAGGGGTCCTTGAAGGGGCTTCAATGGGTTCTCTATGGTGAGCGGCTTTTTAAGGGATGCGGCTCGGGGTTTGGAGGTTTAGGTGAGGGCTCCTGTAAGGGGCTCCTTCTCTATACCTGGAGGGTCGGGGGACTTAGTAAGTAGGTAGTAAGTAGACTTATAAGTACCCTAAAAGGGGCCCTAATTGGGCTTACGGCACTTATAAGTCCCTAAAATAAACAGTTGCTAAGTCCCCCGACCCTCCAAGTAGAGACTGTTTCTATAAGGGCTCAGAGGGTTTAGGGTATCGGATTCCGGGTTTATTTCAAGGGGTCCGAAATGGGTGTAGTAGCTCTTTAAGAGGGTCCTTAAGGGTGTGTCATCTCTTTAGCCCTAAACCCTAAACCTTAAACGTTAAGCCCTTATAATCCCTCAACCACAAACCTTAAGCGCTAAGCCCCAAGCCCTGAGCCTTAAACCCCAAGCCCTAAACCCCCAAACCCTAGGCCCTAAAGCTTACACCCGGGCTTTCCAAAATTCCTTAATTAAGGACTATACTTTACTGTAAATCATATTATGGATCCTACTACAATTCAAGGAATATTCCTTAATTAAAGGATTTTTGGAAGGTCTGGAAAGCTTCAACCCTAAACCCTAAGTAAGCCCTAAAGCCTAAACCCGGCAGGTGCGGGAGAAGGCCGCTGCCGGCTGGCTGCCCGTGGCACTCTGCCGCGAGGCTGGAAACCCTAAACCCTGAACCCAAAACCCTGACCCTCGAACCCTGCACCCTTAACCCTAAACCCTGAGCCTTAAACTCTGCACCCTCAACCCTCTAAACCCGAAGCCCCAAACCCTGAACCCTGAACTCTAAGCCCCAAGCCCTGAACCCTGAACCTTCGATTCTACACCCCAAACCCTGAATCATCTGGGAGTTTCCGAAAATTAGAGGTACCTAAATTTGGGGTCCTTATAACAAGGATCCTTCTATGTGGGTTATTATATCTGGGTCCCCTGTTTTCAGAAGCTCCTATTTCGAGAAACTGCCGACCCGACCAGGGTGGGATGACCTGCTGTCGGATAAATCCGGAGCCGCGGGAGGTCTGCTTGGGCTTTGAATCCTTGGTTTAGGGTTTAGGGTTTAGGTTTACGGGCTTTCCCCAAAAGAGTTCCATGAAGGGTTCCTTAAAGGCTTCTTTGAAGGGTTCCTTTGAAGGGTTCCTTAAAGGCTTCTTTGAAGGGTTCCTTGAAGGGTTCCTCAAAGAGAGCTCCTTTAAGGAATCCTGTACGGGCTCCTTTTCAGGGATCCTTTCAAGGCAATGTAGGGATTTTGGGGCTTTGATTCTTCAGGGGTTCGTTTAAGAGTTTATCTGGAATTTAGGACCTTATCATATAATCCTGTAAGCTTAAAGGTTGCTTTACGGGATGTGTATGGGGATTTGGGGGTTGTTTGTGAGGGTTCAAGGGCTCCATTTCGGGTTCTTCGTGCTTTTCCCGACGACTGCAAGTATACAAACAGTAGCTACTTTGGGGTCTTAAGTGTATACATGGTACCTATTTCGGGCCATTCGGAGCCTTAAAGTTTAGGGGATCTGTTGGGGGTTTTTGGATACTGTGATCCTGTTGAACTATGCGAATTATGGTTCTTCTGAACAAAGGACGATTCGTGGGTTTTGGGGTTCTGGGTTTGGGTCTTGGGTGAATCTGGTTTGCAGACTTCCGGGAACGAGCCTGCATGCAGCGATTAGTTTCTTGCCATGTTAAATCCAAGCCAAGCTTAGTACGCACAGTTGTAAGTACCTTAAATGGGCTGCAAGTAATCATAAGTATAGTAACTTTTTTTAGAGCTTCTGTAGTTGCTTCCTCTTGCTGCAGCGGCAACTACAGAATCAGCCGCCGAAACCACAACTTCGAGGAGTATCCCTGCACTTGTGCGTTGATTTTCAACCCTAACCCTAAACCCTACTTCTTCAGGTCACCTAAGCATACAACTGCAAGTAATTAAGCCTAACTCCTAAATCCTGAACCGTCCCTGGCAACCCCAAGTAGAGAGCCCCTGTATAAACGTAGCGGTAAGCCCTCATTCAACAAAAACATGCTCATTCTAAATGTTTAAGGCTCCCAGCCATCACAACAACCGTTGCAAAACCTATGTACCGTCACAAACCCTATCAAGAATGCGATTGCACACTGTAAAGAGCCTCTGGCATACCGTTTATATTCGTGGGTGGAACTCTCAGCTCTTTTCAAAAAGCCGAGACTGTCATACCAATAAAGCCCTGTTTCCCTAAATCCTCTCAGCCCCTGAGCCCCTAAACCGCTTAAACCCTACACCCCTAAGCCCTAAGCCCGAAAGCCTGAAAGCCCTAAAGCCCTAAACCTATGGAACCCTTAAAGGACACATGAAAGGAATCCTTAAAGGGACCCTTAAAGGACCCCTTAAAGGGACCCTTAAAGGACGCGAAAGAGGAATCCCTAAAGGACCCTTAACAGACCCCGTAAAAGCCGTGTTCGAGGGCGAAGACGCCGTGGGCTTCTTCGGGGAGCTCTGGTGTTCCAGCGGAAGCGGACGGGCTGAGCGCGGCGTGGCCGAGAGTTTGTGCGACGACGACGACTACTACTACACTGCTGCTGCTGCTACTGCTGCTGCTACTGCTGCTGCTTCTGCTACTGCTACTGCTACTGCTACTGCCAGTGCTACTGGTACTGCTACTGCTACTGCTACTGCTACTGCTCCTGCTACGGCTACTGCTACTGCTACTGCTACTGCTACTGCTACTGCTGCTCCTACTACTACTACTACTACTACTACTACTACTACTACTACTACTACTACTACTGCTACTACAACTACTACTACAACAACAACTACTACTACTACTACTACTACTACTACTACTACTACTACTACTAGTAGTATGACGATTCCGAATATTCGGACGTTTGTTTAGGCTCCATGATGTGAGGATTTTGTACGGTTTTTTGTTTCGAGATTCCGTAGGTTTCGCTTTAGGAAGTTTCGTTGCGGTTCAGGGACTTTTGTTTGCTTGAGGTCTGGTTGGGGTTTCGGGGCTGAGACAGCAACGGTCCTCTTCTTGGACTGTAGAGCCGTTTACGGTGCGTGTTTAGGGTTTAGGGTTTAGGGTATATATATATATATATATACGCACACAGATTTGTTCATAGTAATGTTACGTTTGATGGGGGAAGTATGGCTGCAGTCACAGTGCCATTAGTAGCCCCTCGTGGCTCCCGTTGCTGTACCCAGACCTTACAAAGTCCCTTGATTACGGAACATTACACTGCTTAATCCTTTAATAAACCTATGGTAGGATCCCTAATATCATCAAAGGTATATTCCTTAATTCAGGGACTTTGAAGGTCTGCGTAAGGCGGGTTTAGCTGAGATTGCAGAACTCCCCAGGCCAAGTCCAGCCTGACCCTAAGTCCAGGTGCCCAAAACTCGTCAACACAACACCCAAATTGTGAAGCTAAACCTAAATTCAAGCTGTAAACTCTAAACCGTAGGGTCTTATCAACGAGGGTGACGACGGAGCGCCAAATCCCAAACCCTAAGCCATAAACCCCAAGCCCTAAACCCCTAAACCCCTAAACCCCTAAACCCCTAAACCCCTAAACCCCTAAACCCCTAAACCCCTAAACCCCTAAACCCCTAAACCCCTAAACCCCTAAACCCCTAAACCCCTAAACCCCTAAACCCCTAAACCCCTAACCCCTAACCCCTAAACCCCTAAACCCTAAACCCTAAACCCAAACGGTACATCCGACGACCCGGCCCTGACATCTCATCCCCGAAAGTTAAGCCCGAAGTCCTCAACCCTAAACCCTCACCAACACCCCCCTACGGTTGATGATATACATCCTGCATTGCCCATAAAAAGGAATATACCATAACTCCGATAGTTTAGGGTCCTTAAGGTAATGCAGGGTTCATATCATCAACCGTAGTACCCTATAGTAGAACGCAAAAACCGACAATTTAAGGACCATATGGGCTTTAATAACTTGGATCCTAATACCCAACCTTTGAACTTTTTGGGTTCTTGTCGTTTAGTAGGAATCGGAGAGTTTAAGCTTTCAATTCTGTGACATATGGGTTTTAACAGTGGGTACTTTGGGGGAGTTTTCGAAAATTGCGGCTACCTTTGGGTCCCTTTAAAGGGTAACTGTAAGGGTACTATAAGGGTTCCTTAAAGGGCTCTGTGCCCCGTAGTCTAGTGGTCTGAAAAGGAAGCCCCTTTTAGGGTTTACAGCCCTATAGGGCAGTGCGGGGCTCAGTGAGCCCTGTGCTTGCAAACAACACAACGGGTTTAGGATTTAGGGCCTCGGGTTTAGGGTTTAGGGTTCTATGGTTTGAAGTTTCGGGTTTAGGGTTCTGTCTGAATGCGAAACTCTGAGGCTGGAACCTTAAGATCTGAGGCGGCATCTTCGGTGAGTGGACGCTGACAAGACAGACGTCCTGCTTCCTGGATTACCTCCAGGCCGTCGGAGGGATGAAGTTGAAATCGGATGGTTCCTTATTATAGCTCATTCTAGCCCTCTTGGGATCCCTTTAAAGGAACACCCAAACCCTATTCTGATTATTAAGGGATTGTAGAGAACGGGTTGGGGTTCAGGGCTTGGAGTTTAGCGTTTGGGGCTTAGGGTTTAGGGTTTAGAATGCCAAGCTGGGTTTCGGTTTAAGTCTTGGGGTTTAGATTCTAGATTCTCAGGGTGAGTTGCGGTTTAGGCTTGCGGTTTGTTGTCTTCGGATTGGTTCATGTACCCCAAACCCCTAAACCGTGGAGTGTTCTTGACAGTGATGGTCTAGGATGCCCAGTAGTACCCTTATTCCCTTTTTGTAGTCCTAGGTTCCTTATAAAGTTACCCAATACCAAAAAGAGAGGCCTTTTTATTCTTAGGTTACTGGGTATCCTAGACCCTAAACCCTAAACCGTGGAGGGTTCTTGACAGTGATGGTTGTGGAGACGACGAGCTGTTTATTATGATTGCGAGGATGCTGCTGTTGCTGATGGTGATGTCGATATGGGGGTTTCCGAAATTAGAGGTGCTGTATTTCGGGGTCCTTATTAATGAGGATCCTACTATTTAAGGTACTATATTAGGGTCCCCTATTTTCGGAAACGCCCATATTTCCGCTCCCCACTGCCTTACTATGGTCACTGTTTCTTCGGGATAGGGGGTTAAAACAAATTAAATAAGGATCAAAAAAATTCAATAAGGATAAAAAACATTAAATAAGTATCAAAAAAATAAACAGGTATCCACGAAAGGAGGGGGGGGTAACGGAGGAAAGAAAGACAGAGAGAGAGAAAGAAAGAAAGAAAGACAGAAATAAAGAAAGAAAGAACGAAGGAAAGAACGACAGAGAGAGAGAGAGAGAGAAAGAAAGAAAGAAAGAAAGAAAGAAAGAAAGACAGAAAGAAATAAATAAAGAAAGAAAGCAAGAAAGAAAGCAATAAAGAAATAGATAAAGACAGACAGAAATAAAGAAAGAGCGAAATAAAGAAAGAACGAAAGAAAGAAAGCAAGAAAGAAAGCAATAAAGAAATAGATAAAGACAGACAGAAGTAAAGAAAGAACGAAGTAAAGAAAGAACGAAAGAAAGAAAGCAAGAAAGCAAGAAAGAAAGAACGACATAAACAAAGCTATAAGGAAAGAAAGAAAACAACAATAAAGAAGTAGATAAGTAAAGAAAGCTGTAGGGAAAGAAAAAAGAAAACACGAGGAAAGGACGAACGAGAGGTAGAAAACAGAAAAAACAAACAATAAGCAACTAACGAAAGAACAAACATAGAGAAATCACGAAAGACGAAAGGACATAGATTAACTAAGAGGTTGTTTTGTTCTATGTTATCTTCTGTTGTATTGTATTGTATTGTCGTCTTTTATTATGTTATTATATGCTATAAGAAGCAAGGTTCTGTTATGTCAGAAAATGTCACACGATTTTTTGATGTCGAACCATCTTATGTCGTTCTTCTGGTTTACTATGTTAGAGTGCTAACGGAAGACGAGACGCGAACAGGCACGGAAGAGCGAAAGACCCACCGCCGCGCTTTTCGAGCCGTGCAAGCTTGATTCAAAGAGTGTTTTCGAAGCCCATCATGTGAGCGTTGTGTCTGCAAATGGGGGGGGGGGCTGCGCCCCCGCCCAACCCCCCCGCTGAACCAGAATCGCCAAATGAGGGGGTGTGTTTAAGATAGGTGATGAAGCGGAATACCAGCAACAGCTACAACATGAAATCCGTCCTGAATGCGAAATTGTAACGAAAATCTGATTTTCCCGAGGAACAACCAAAGATAACGTATGTTTTCCTTCTGAAAACCTGAAGAAATGACACGAACGCCATAGGTAATAGAAAATAGTGTTTTTCCTACGAAAAACCAAGGAAGACTTAAGGAAATGCAACGGAATCCGTAGGAAAATCGTGTTTTCCCGAGGAAAAACCAAGCAAATCCCTAGGAAATGAAAGAGAATCCGTAGGAAAACAGTGTTTTCCCTTGGAAAATAAGAAAGAAAGTAAGACAGAACGAAAGAAAGAAAAAACGAGAGAGAGAACGAAAGAACGAAAGCAACAATGAAAGAAATAACGAAAGCAAGAACGAAAGAAAGAACGAACGAAAGAAAACACGAAATTTATGAAAAAAGAAAGAAAGCAAGAAAGAAAGGAAGGGAGTATGAAATGAATAAAGAAAGAACAACAGAAAGAAATACAAGAAATGAACGAGCGAAAGAAAGAAAGAAATCCAGAATAAACACGCAAAGTTGGAAACGACGGAAGAAAAAGAACATGAAATAATCACAGAAACAAAGATACAAGCAATCGGATACTACATAGTCCAATCGAATATGCCATAATATCGTAATGTACCACAACATAATATGACAGAATGTAACCTGATGTTATATAACATACTAAATATTATGTTGTATAGATACAAACTATATTGTACTATGTTACAATGCACTACACTATAAACTAAGATGTTGTTTTGTTCTACATATGTTGTCTTTTGTTATATTGTGTTGTCGTCTTTTTTATGTTATTGTATGCTATAAGAAGCAAGGTTCTGTTATGTCAGAAAATGTCACACGATTTTTGTGATGCCGAACCATCTTATGTCGTTCTTATGGTTTACTATGTTAGAGTGCTAACGGAAGACGAGACGCGAACAGGCACGGAAGAGCGAATGACCCACCGCCGCGCTTTTCGAGCCGTGCAAGCTTGATTCAAAGAGTGTTTTCGAAACCCATTATGTGAGCGTTGTGTCTGCAAATGGGGGGTGGCTGCGCCCCCGCCCAACCCCCCCGCTGAACCAGAATCGCCAAATGAGGGGGTGTGTTTAAGATAGATGATGAAGCTGAATACCAGCAACAGCTACCACATGAAATCCGTCCTGAATGCGAAATTGTAACGAAAATCTGATTTTCCCGAGGAACAACCAAAGATAACGTATGTTTTCCTGCTGAAAACCTGAAGAAATGACACGAACGCCATAGGTAATAGAAAATAGTGTTTTTCCTAGGAAAAACCAAGGAAAACTTAAGGAAATGCAACGGAATCCGTAGGAAAATCGTGTTTTCCCGAGGAAAAGCCAATCAGATCCTAAGGAAACGAGAGAAAATCCATAGGAAAATATTGTTTTTCTTGGAAAATTCAGGAATTGCTGTATATTGAGTGATTTAATTGTTTTTGATCCTTATTTTAATTTCTTTTTGATGCCTCTGCCCCAGGAATTGCTGCATTTTACGTGATTTAATATTCTTTTGATCCTTTTTTTAATATTTTTTTGATCCTGGTGCTTTAATGTTTTTGATCCTTATATATTTTGTTTTGATCCCGAACCCCCCTTTTTCTTCTCATTACTATAGCTCTGATGATTGTATCCTCTGCTGCTGCAAGAACAACGCAAGACCCCGCAAAAGAACCGGCTCCCAAAATTACAAACAGGAGTGCGAAAGACACGTGGAACAAGACAAACCCCAGACACCATATAAACTTCTGATCATAGGACCCCTGAAGGAACACTGCGGTAAACTTAAACCCCTGCAGCCGAAAACCTTCAACAATAAAACCCCTACAGGCAAACACCAAAATCCTCAAAGCACGGCACACCATTCATGGGAAACCTTACAGGACTCCTGAAAGGAACCTTCAAAGTAACCCAACAAGGAACCGTCAAAGGATCCCTAAATTTGAACCCAGCTTTAAACCAAAACCCTGAACCTTGACCCGTGAACCCTAAACCCGAAGCTCTTCAAACCGAAACCCTTCAAAACCTAAGCCCTTCAACACCCAGCCCTCGAACCCTAAACTTAAACCCGTCAACCCTAAACCCTTGAAGCCCCTAAGCCCTAAACCCTTGAAGCCCCTAAACCCTGAACAGGACTACGTAAGCCTCCTGGAGGGACTACCCTCACAGTGGGCGGAGCAGTCGCTGCTGACAACCGGCAGCCGGAAGCCCGAGATGTGGAGATTTCTTAAAGGGTTTAGGGTTTAGGGTTCAGGGTTAAGGGTTTAGGGTGTAGGGTGTAGGCAGATTTCTGAAAGGCTAGGTTCCTGAGTAGTACCCTTCAAGGGCTCCTTATAGGGATCCTTAAGGGATCTATGTGGGGTTTGGGGTCTACCCGGTTCCTGAGTGGTACGCTTTTGCCCTTTGGGGTCTCCTTATTACCCTAAGGGTCCTAACAGATTGGGGAACCTCAAAATTGAGGGTTTCTGAGACCCCAAAGAGACCCAAGGACTCTCCCTAGGACATTCCGGACCCTCCCAAGGAGATATCTGGACCCTTAGGGTAGAATTGAATATTACTACGAAAAAGGGCACTTTGGGGGTTGCTGAGGCACCTAGAAGGGAGTTCAAAGGAAGGGTTTCAGAGGTTTTGGAGGTTTTCACGGTTTCGGAGTTTCATTTTTTTTAGAGTTTTTAGGGCTTCAGGGTTTAGGGTTTGGGGGTTTCACGGGTTTCACGGGTTCTAGTGTTTTGGGAGTAGGGTTTAGGGCAGATGGCCTGTTCTGTAGAATTTGTTACGGGGTTCTTCAAAAGAAGGTATAAGATTTTGTGTTTTTTTTCTAAGGACTTTGTATGGACTTTTCATGGGTGTTCTGCAGCTTTCATGAGACTAGGTAGGAGCAGTGCTATACGGCTTTAAAGCGACTTGCTACAATGAGAGGTAGAGGGATTGCTGTCCCCTAGTTTCTCCAACTCCCATGTCAACGCGCACCCTAAACCCTAAACCCTAAACCCTAAACCCTAAACCCTAAACCCCATGGTGTGCTGTGACGGTGTGAGTGGGTTTTCAGGCTCTTAGAGTTCCCTAAACCCTAAACCCCTACTTAGAGGATCATGGGACTTAGTAAGTAAGGTTACAAGTACCTTAATTGGGGGTTATAAGTAGAAATAAGTATAGTTACCTTATTTATAACCCTAGTTACTAACCATGTTCCTTTAAGTAAACCCCCAAACCCATATAGAACCCTAGTAAGCCTTGTAGATCCCTTAAAGGAACCCTTTAAGGAATCCTAGGCCCTTTAAGTAAACCCTAAACCGTGGCGCGGTCCGAGTTGAGGACATGAGAGAGGGGGGGGTTTACGGCTACCGGGTGGTTCAGGGCTTTAGGGTTTAGGGTTTAGGGTTTAGGGTTTAGGGTTCTCTTAATTTGGGAATTATTCCTTAAATCGCATACGGCATCCTGCGATACTTTGAGGTGTACGGGATATTGGAGTCTCTGGGGGTGTACGTACTTGAAGGATCATTGGACTTAGTAATTAGGTTATACGTAGTGTTCTAGGTACAGTGACTCCAGTAAGGTGGCTTATAACCTTGCTTACAACGTACTCAATAATAAGTTAGGTTTAGGGTTTAGGGTTCAGGGTTTAGGGTTTAATTAGGGCTCAGGGTTTAGGGTTGCTGAGTCCCCTGAGCCTTCAAGTAGTAGGGTGGTAGAGCTTCACCGATGCAGGGTTTTGGCTGCAGAAACTGTTCAGCCAATCCGTTTTTTCTTTTTTGCGCGTTAAGGGTTTCTGCAAAGGTTCCAAATGTCATGGTTTCGGAATCTTCAGTGTTCAGTCAACAACGTCCCCTGGGGCCCCCTTTCCTTTGCCCGTGCGGGTAGCGTTTGGGAGAGGCAGTTGTATACCTAAAGATAACTGAAGCACGGGCAGGCTCCTGCAGGCCCGCAGACCACAATGCATGGCTTCAAACTGCTCCAAGGGTGGGATGAACAAGTAAGAGTCCTGATATAAGGGATCATCAATCTTGCCCATCTTGATCCCACCTTTCGAGGCCTCCGTATGATTCCTTTTTTGGGCAAGACGACACGAATCAATGGCCCAAGCTGTTTCCATCGCACTCACACAGACCCTCAACCTTGCACCCTTAAACCTCAAGCCCTAGACCCCGCTCCTACATCGTGGCACACATCGCCGCTGACCATTCCACGAGATCGGGGTAAGAAGGCCGTCAAAACTTAAGCTTTGAGCCAGAAGCATCGGCTGTCCATGAGTTCCCGGCAATCATACTGCAACAGGCCCGATCCTAACCCGTAAAGTCCTTGGGTGCAACTCCATCGACCAATATGCTGCGTGTGCTCTCCTCATTCTCAGGAGAGGAATTACTGGCTATTCACACAGAGCAGGTTTCCGACATAGACTCTGTGAAGAGGCATTTGCAAAGGGTACATGGGGTCTCCTGTCACAGGCAGAAGCTACTTTACGACAGCCGGGTTCTGGAGGACTCTGAGGAGATTAAATCGCCGGTCGATCTCCAGCTGCTTCTGATGCCCTTCAGGGAGGCTTCAGTACAAGAACTGCAACGGTTCCATGACGCAGCGATCCGTGGTGATGTGCGAGGGATGAAAGCGATGCTTGAAAGTTGCCACGACCCCAACTGCTCGCAAGGTCTAACACCGCTTGCAGTTGCAGCTTGTTGTGGCCATCTGGATGCTGTGGAGTTGTTGTTGGAGTCCGGTGCTGACAAGAACAAGGGCGAAGAAGGAACCGGGTTGACGGCTTTGGCATTGGCCTGCCAGAACGGTAGACTGGAGGTTGCAAGGTTTCTGCTTGAGTCGGGTGCCGACAAAGACCAGAGCACCCACACGGGATTCACGCCGCTCTTTGCAGCATCTTGCCATGGACACACGGAAGTTGTGAGACTGCTGTTAAGCGCCGGCGTCAACAAGGACATCGTCGTGGAATCGGGAAGGGCCTGGGAGTGTGGTACGCCGATTCTCACTGCTTGCCAGAGAGGCCATGTGGAGATTGCGAGGCTTTTAGTGGAGGCTGGTGCAGATACGGAGAAGCATTCCAGAAGGAGGGGGAAAACTTCGTTTTTCCAAGCAGCCGGATTGTCTTTCGAGATGCCGCCACCACTGTCTCAGCAGATAAACTTTGTGCACTACATGTCTGGAGTTGCAACGGGATCGTCTTTCAGACGCCGGCGCCACGTGCAGATCGTGCACCTGTTACTTAAGCACGAGAGACGCCCGCTGTCGCGTCTCTGGAAGAAGTTCGTCTACTACGTCCTCATAAGAGTGGGTCTTGTCATGATCGTTCTTCTTCTCGTCATGCCGGTCAGGCTCATTCGTCGTTGGCGTAATATAGGGGCCTGAACACAGGAAGAATATCAAGAATTACATCCGCGTGTAGTTCCTATTCACTGTAGAATCACTCCCAAGCCCTATTCCAACTGTGAAGGCCCCCCCATATTACCCGATATGGCGGTTTAGGGTTTAGGGTTTAGGGTTTAGGGGTTGCTGCTCTTACTTCAAGATAACCTCACTCGGCTGCGTTCACACGAAAGGGCCCAAAAAGTTTGGCTCCATGATCCTTGCCCATGCCTCCGCACTGCCGTCAGGGGACTTTACCAGAGATGCGAGCCTTGGTTCAGGGAAGCGGGCTTACGCCCTAGACCGTAAAATTTTTGAACCTGAACTCTGAACCATAAACCCGTACCGCTGAACCCTATGCCCTCGACCCATGACCCTAGACCCTTAACCGTGGGTTGGATGGAAAAGGACATTCAGAAACTCTGATCACCAAAGCACTCCCGGGTGCTTGCTAATCAGCGTTCATCAAACCAAAATGGGAGTTTCCGAAAATTAGGGGTACCTTAGAAACCTTCATAAGTTTGCTAGGTTGCTTTACGGTTTCCGTCAGGCCGTTACAGGGATATTGCAAGTATAAGACGATGGCCTGTGCTCCTCAGGGTTCCTTGTTAGATGTACATGGCATTACAACCATAGACGCCCGGTTTAGGGTTTAGGATTTAGGGTTTAGGGTTTAAATGGCGAATGACATAGTTTCTTGATTATGGCAATTGAAGCTCGTTAGCAAGAACCCAGTTTTGGGCGCGGAGCCGAGGTTCAGGAGACTCCCTTCGCACGAACCCAACCTTTAAACTTTTTGGATTCTTATAGTTTAGTAGGATTCGGAAAGTTCAACCTTTCATTCTGTGGCTTATTGGGGTAGCTTCCCCCCAAAACCCATATAGAACCTTTAGTAGTAAGCCTTATGGATCCCTTGAAGGAACCCTTTAAGGGAACTCTAGTTACTAAGGCTCCCAAGCTAAACCCTAAATCCTCAAGGTTCCCAAGTCTGACCCGGTCTACAAAACTGTAGAGCAGAGCCCTTTTCTGAGATCTCCCCAGAGAGCCCAATACCCTGTAATTCAGGAATATAGCAAGAATCATAACATGAACCCTTTTTATAGTTTAAGGTATACTCAATATACCTTGATACTCCATATACCTTAGATTATAAAGGGGGTCCATATTATGGTTTAAGCTATATTCCTTAATTAAGGGGTATTGGGCTCTCTGGGTTTATCGCAGGCTTGGGGAACCCCGACGCGACCAGAATCATATGGAAGCCCTGCGGAATCGGCTATCCCCGAAAACCGAACTCCTGGCCCTTACCCCCAAATCCATCCGATACTCTAAACCCCACACCCACATGTCTAGCCCTAAACCCTAAACCCTAACCTCCGAACCAACCCTACCCTCCAATCCTAACCTTGAAACCCTGAACCCTTAACCGCTCCTCGTCTAGCTCTTCAGTCCCATGAAAAACTTTTTTCTAGAACTCCTTATATGCACCTTGTAGTGGCCCTGTAAGGAGCCCTTAATTGAACCCCGTTCTACCTGCCCAGGTCTCGGAGGGGCCCTTGTTCAACTTTTCAGCGCGCCGAGGCGTGTCGTGCCCGGGTTTTGGGGTGCAGGGGTTTGGGTCTAGGCGTAGGGGTGAAAATTTAGGATTAAGGGCAGACGGTTTTGGGTGTAAAGGTTTGGGTCTAGGCTTAGGATAACATAAGATTAGAGTGTTTAGGGTCAGAAGGTTTAGTGTTATGGGGTTTTGCGTATCGGGTCTAGAGTTCAGTTTGTTTTGAGTTTAGGGGTTTAAGGGTTCAGGGGTTTAGGGGTTTAGGTTTGGGGTTAAGGGTAGAGGGTTACGGGCTAAGAGCAGAGGGTTTAGGGTTAAGGCTGAGTAGGTGTGGGTTTCGGGGTTTGGGGCAGTCGTTGTGCGACCACTGTAACACGGTCAGGGTTTAGGGTAGGTTTAGGGTTTAAGTTTAGGGGACCTGTCATGATGACCAACCTCTTGTTTCTAGTCGTGCTTTATTGAATCTTGGAGTCAACAGCATGATTGCTGAAGGTCTAATGTATGCTCATCATCATCATCCTGGTCTCTTGAAATCGCTTTTACCACATCCTAAACCGCCGAAGCCCTAAACCCTAAACCCGTGAACCTGGATCCTATGATCCCACACCCGAAACCCCCTAATATGAGGGACTCCCGTTTTTGAATAAGTACCAATACTGCTGTGGTAGCTCCTTAGTATGGTTACAGGATAATGCAACCCAAAACCCTATTCTTATTATGGATCACGAGAGATCTGAGGAAGACAACAATACTGCCACCTCCCTACAGTATAATACAACGTACCCCGAAACCCTCTTCTAACCCCTTTAATGTAGATGCCTAAATAATTACCGATACTATTGTGGAGGTTCCTAAATATGGCTATAGTATAATCGTATGATATAACGTACCCCGAAACCCTCTTCTAATTCTTAAGGCCCTTATATCATAGTACCCTTATAGATCCCTTGTAGTAACCCTTATATAGACCCCTTTAAAGGAACCCTATTCAATAAATATCCGCCCGGAAAAAGGCCCCTACACGAAGCCCTCAGACAGGATCTACTGCGACGAGCAAGGCAGCTGGATGACCACAGGCGCCTCATGGCACCCCTTTTCGGAGACTACTTGGAGGGTCTGGGGACTTAGAAAGTAGGAAGTAAGTAGACTTATAAGTACCCTAAAGGGGACCCTAATTGGGGTTATGGTATTTATAAGTCCCTAAAATAACCAGTTACTAAGTCCCCCGACCCTCCAAGTAGGTATTTGCAGGATCATGGGACTCAGTAAGGTTAGAAGTACTTTAATTGGGGGTATAAGTAGATATAAGTATAGTTACCTTACTTATATCCCTAGTTACTAAGTCTTATGATCCTTCAAGTAGGGCTTTGGGACATTTCATATTTCCCTTATTTGGGCTGGAAAGGATCTGATTTCACTAATCTTTTTCAACAGCTTTAAAAACCCACCTAGAAGAGTTTTTGCCTTCAGGGCCGGGTTTGTTTGGCGGGGTTTGACTCTAAGCTCCATGCTTAAGGGACTGAAACACAGGGTGTATGTTTAGGCGGTTGAAAAAACTTAGGGGTCAGGTTGTTTGTTTCCTTTCTTTGGTGTTTTGAGGTTACCTTGTTGGTGGTTTATCTGCCTTAGAGGCGTTCGTGCGTGTTTAGTTGGGGATACGTAGGGGGCCCACCAGTTTTGCACATGGAGGCTTAATGAGAAGGCCCTACTTGGAGGGTCGGGGGACTTAGTAAGTAGGTAGTAAGTAGACTTATAAGTACCCTAAAAGGGACCCTAATTGGGGTTATGGTACTTATAAGTCCCTAAAATAACCAGTTACTAAGTCCCCCGACCCTCCAAGTAAGCCATATGTGAGCCTTTAGTTACACGAAGAAGCGGGGCTGTTGAAGAGATCATCAAAGCAGTAAGCCACTCAGCCTTCAACATCAGAGGCCTGCATCTTACTTAGAGTAGGATGTCGGGATACAATATACTACAACTTTACAGGAACTCCAACGAGGAATTTACCTGAGAATTATACTTTGTTACAGTTGGATAACATTTTAAATGTTTATGGGTACTTAATCACCAAAAGGAGTAAACATGTACATAAATTTACATGTTTACTACGATCCGCACCATGAACTAGTATATGGCATTCGGATTGCTGACCGGCTCTTAGTTCAGGGTTGGGGGTCCAGCGGCGCCGAGAGCCTAAACAGGGTTTAAGGTGCTGTGTGGGGCTGTGTGGGGTACTGCCATAAGGGTTTAGAGTTTAGGGTTTAGGGGCTGGAACCTGGCCCCTAGCTCTCAGCCTAAACGCCAAGCTCACAGCCCGAAAGCTTCTAACCTAACCTGCAGGCCCAAGCTCAACAAGCGCGCAAATTTAGTGATGCGTGCCATAACAGGGCCTGGTCAGAACAGCGCAGAACATTTAGGGACTAGAACCCCGAAGCCCGAGGCCGTCGGCCATAGACCCTACTGTAATCCGTAGCCAGAGCACGTCGCCCCTGCAAAGCTGGGAGGCCTTGGCAAGGGCAAGGGAAACCTCTGGCAGAGACTGAACCGTCACGTGTCAAAGCTCGCAGGGCAGGGTTGACGTAAACCCTATACCCTAAATTTAGAATTCCTCAATCCTAAATCCTAAACCCTAAACCCTACCTAGCCACTACCCAAACCCTAAGTCCTGGTCCTTTGGTTGATTTGGGTTTCTCGGTCTGAAAAGATGGATTCCGGCGGAAATGAGGGGTACCTTACTTCGGAGGTCGTACTATATTGGGGTCCCCTATTCTCGGAAACTCCCATAGAGAGCTCTTGAGGAATCTTGGTCTTTGGGTTCATGGATATACCCAGAGAGCCCAGTACCCTTAATTAAGGAATACAGGTTAAATCATAATATGGACCCTCTTATAATTTAAGGTATATTCCTTACTCAAGGGGCTTTGGGTTCATGGATATAAGGCTCTTTGGGAATCTTGGGGCGCCTTAGTTGTCTGTTGACAGGCTACAGTAATACAGCGCGCATTTGAGATGCAATTCTTCTTGAGAGTTCTTTCGACACAAGAATTGAGAGCGGTATAACGGGCCGCATCATGTACGACTACGGCGTGTCACTTGGATGTAGCCATGCACGTTAGAATTAGCAGTTCTTGGAGCTTGCCTTCAAAGCTTTGACGACGTGGCCGCCCCTCCTTAGGCGATACGCTCCTCCAGATAGATTTGGGGTCGAGGATCTTGCGCATACTGATGCCGACGCAGCCTGGTAGACATGTGTGTTTATGTGGCTACGTCAGCGTTCCATTGGTACCTGCAAGCATAGAACTGTTTTGTGCACCATGAGGTCAAGTACAATTGCACTCAGAAACGCAGACAAGCATGTGCTGTCAACTGGCTTTGGTGTAGGGGTGGACGCCGGTCGCGCCGAACGTGTTGGTAGCGGCGGTGTCTGTTTGATGACCCTTGTTCGTGACTTACGTTTAGTACAATGTCTACAATCTACAAAAAATATTCAGGACGGCATTACCAACCTTGAGCCCCGAAGCCTCATCCTTGCATGGTGGGGACTGCTCTACCGTAAGTGCCTTGAATTATTGTAGGTATCGATTTGGGAAAAATCTGATTGCCCTTCTTGCTTCATAAAAGCCCTAACTGTAAATATTCTTGGAGAATGTTGAAATGGGAGTTTCCGAAAATAGAGGACCCTAATATTGTACCCTAAACAGTAGGATCCTTATAAGAAGGACCCCCCAAATAAGGTACCCCTAATTTTCCGAAGCTGCCAAGTCGACGCCCTGTATGGTAATTGCCGTAAAGTTTTCAGCCTCATCCCGAAGACCTCCAACCCAGACCCCCGCGAGGATCTAGAAAGTAGATCCCCTAATTTGGGGCCCTATACTAAGGGTACTTTATAGGAACCCCCATTAAGGGATCTACGTTTTGGAGTCTGGGAAGGCGGTAAGCACCCTCGTCCTTCAACGCTGGCGCTCAGAACCCACTCGCTGAACACTTTTGCCGTTAGAGTCCTCGACATACAAGGGAGGCTTGAAGGATTACGGGACTTCGTCACTAGGGTTGTGCATAAGGTAACTATGCTAATGATGATGTATAGCCGTATTTATAACCTCACTTGCTATGACCCATGATCCTGAACCCTTTATGGAACCTTACTAAGACCCACGATCCTCCAAGCAAGGCAGGGTACGCATCCAAGGCTCCCAGCCGGTTCGGGTCATATTCCCTCCTGGTCTCGGGAAGACTGGTGCCATGGCGGTTACGGTCGTTCAACATAGAAGATCCTACCTTTTCAAGGGTTAAACCAATAAGCAAATAAGTAAATAGATAAGCATATGAATATGTATACATATATATATATATACACATATAAATATATAGGTATATAGATTTTTATGTGGAGATATAGGAAGTTAAAATCAGGAACCCTGACGATGATTGAACACGTAGGTGTTTAGGGTCCAGGTAACGGCTGAGCGTCTTGGATTCAGAGTGTAGGGTTTAGGGTTTAGGGTTTTTAGGGTTTAGGATTCAGAGTTTCGGTTTTTTGCTTGGTTTGTCAGGGAATTGGAGGGCATATGGATGTAATTTGCATGTCTTAAATGGTCTAGGGTTACATTTCGAGTTAGATGAGGAGTGTAGAGTAAGAGTAAGTGCAAAGTTGTTTAGGTGCAGGCTGAACAATCGTAAATCCTAAGCCCTTAACGCGTTGTGGTTCATAGCCCCGAACCTCCAACTCCAAGCCCGTCGGTTTTGTTCCGGTTGCGTGGTTCAGGTTTTAAAATACGTGTTGGTTGCCGACCACAGGGCTTCTGGGTGTGTTTCGTGTGGTTTTGTGGATCTTTGGTTGTGAGGCCTGCCGGTTTGCTTTTGAGGGTTCAGGGTGTAGGGGTCTTGTTTGCTTTAGGGTTCAGTGTGTTGGGGTAGATCGGGGAAGAAATCAAGAGCAAGCGTTGGAGAGAGCATATAGGGGTGGTTTTCGGGTTTCAGGGCTTTGGGGTCTAGGGTATAGGGTTTCGAGAAGCGCCTAAACTGCCAACCATGGCATTCTTAGTATTTTGCTATCCGGATCTTGCAAGGAGTGATCTCCGCTCAACCCTAAACGAGAGAATCTGGCAATATGAGGGTTTGAAAAAGTGGGACACCTCATTTCGATAGTTGGGGTGTGACGTGTCGGCCCCCTCTGACCCGACGAAGCCACGATGCAGAGCCCTTACGCGAAAGCATCCTGACGCCCTAAACCCTTGCCCCGAAAGCCGAAACCCCTAACCGAACCCTCTTGACTTGATCCTTGAGCCCAGGAAAGCGCCGTGCTTCCTTCGCACAGTCCTGGCTTTTGGGGAAGTGATGGCAAAAAGAGTTGTCCTCGTGCTCTAGCTTTAAAGGGTCCAGGCCCAAGGGGTTGCAATTTTAAGGCTTCAAAGGGGGTTTAGTGTTTACAAATAGGCTTGCTTTTTGGGGTTCATATTTAGAATCCTATAAGATAATCCCAAAAAGGAACTACTATGTAGTTTACGGGTAGGGGTTTAGGGTTTAAGGCTGAACTCTGTGACCGTGCACAGGATTCCTGTGTCACCAGCACTGATGGGCAGGTTGTTCTACTAATTCGGACTACCTTCGTACGGAACACCCATACAAACATGGGAGCGTGGCTATCAAGATCCCATGGCCTTCAAAACCCCTTAGTCAAGGAATCTACCTTAAATTGTAGTAGGATCCCGAATATGATTTAAGGAATATACCTTAACTATAGTAGGAGCCCCAATATGATTTAAGGAATATCCCTTAAGTATTGTAGGAGCCTTAGTATGGTTTAAGGAATAGTATTCCTTAATTAAAGGATTTTTGAAGGTCTGGGATTCTAAGCCCGTCAGCCTTCTAGTGGTAGTGTAATGCAGGGCTCCTCTAGGGGCTTCTTTAAGAGTTCCTTTAAGGGCTCTATAGGGTTTAGGGCTCAGGGCCCATGTGCGCATATGTGCGCTATCATTATGGAATCTGGTCCCAAAAGGCCATCCCTGTTATGGTTTTGGGGGCCTAACTTAATTCCATAATATTCGTGTATATGGACCCCCTACTGTCGGAGAATCCGCAAGGCCCGTCGAATGTTTTGGCTTCTACATTAAACACCCTATAGTCCCGAACCCGTGAACATTGGAGCCATTAAACATTCGTCATAGTATGCCTGTATAGTCCCTTCATAGCCATACCACTTTTTGCAGGAAAAGCCCATCTAAAAGGCTAAACATTAAAGAAGACCCTAAAGCAAACCCTCCGAAACCCGAAGTCCGTAGCTCTGAACCCTAGATGAGCAGTCTGCAGGCCCGCAGGCGTGACGATGATATCTCCATTGTTGGGCCCCAGCGGGGGCGATTCCCCCTCAGGGTTCAGCGTGGGTTCAGGGTTGGGGTTCTAGGGTTTAGGGTTTAAGGTCGAAGGTGCAGGGTTTAGGATTTGGGTTGGGGGTTGAGGGTTTGGTCTGGATGGCTGTGGGATTCAGTTTTCTCGAAGGCCTCAATCCAAGGCCCTAGAAACCGCATAGCACCCTTCAGCACTAAACCACAAGGCCGACATTCTAAGCCCAGGTTGTCAAACATCCTCACCCCTAAACCCTAAAAACACGGGGCCCAGAGCTCGAAACCGTAGTGCATTCGCATTCCATGTGGGACTTAGTAAGTAGGTAGTAAGTAGACTTATAAGTACCTTAAAAGGGGCCCTAATTGGGCTTATGGTACTTATAAGTCCCTAAAATAGCCAGCTACTAAGTCCCCCGACCCTCCAAGTAGTGCATTCCATGTACAGCATGAAAACCCCAGACCCTGAACCCTGAAGGAGTTCTTGCTTGATAGAAGTTAGCTTTCCACAACCCTTGGCGCTAACCCCCACATCCGGAGTTTGCTCCGGAGTTTGCTCCATGCCCTAAACCATAGACCTGAAACCCTAAATCCTAAACCCTCAATCCTAAACCCTAAACTCTTCCATCACCAGACCTTGTTTGTGAAGCGCGAAGGACAGCCCAGAAGACGCAATCCCATCTCCGAGCCAAGCCAGAAGTTTGAACCCTGAATCATGTATCGGTTTAGTTTTTATATTTTTTTAATCTTTTTTTGTTCCAGAAACCGGCAGAGCTCGTTTGGGGGTTTAGGGTTTAGGGTTAAGGCAAAGCCTAAGGCCTAGATCCTAGCCTTTAAAGCCCTGAACCCTAAAATACCGAGCCAAGCGCGAAGCCGTAAGTCCAAAACGGAACACCCTCACCTCTCCACTGCCATATCCGGGGAAGTCATACGGTGGACTTTGACTCCAGGGTGAGCAGGGCTACTTAAAGGATCATGGGACTTAGTAACTCCGGTTATAAGTAAGGTAACTGTACTTGTAACCCCAATTTAAGGTACTTATGACCTTACTTACTAAGTCCCATGATCCTTTAAGTAGGGGCTTTGGGGTCTCGAGTTCGAGTTTGTCCAGGCTGTGGTGTTGCGCGTTCGAGGATAGGGTTTAGCTTGGGGCTTTGGTGTTTCATTTTGGAGTAAAAAGGTGATGTTTAGGAGTTTGAAGCTTGGTCATTGCTTTGAAGCAACATGCGCTATTCGGCAGCCCGACCTAGGTCAACGCGCCGGATGCCAAGATCGGGAAGAGCGGTCATGGTCTGAATGGTACGGTTGATGATATAAATCCTGCATGACCCATAATAAGGAATATGCCATAATTCCCATAGTTTAGGGTCCTTAAAGTAATGCAGGATTTATATCATCAACCGTAGTAAGCCCCTTAAAGCCCTAGTAGAAGAGCCTTGTGAAACCCTCATAGCGCCCCTGTGTTGATGGTATTAAGCTTTGAAGAACTTGACTAGCTGACTTTCGAAAGCCTTTTCGAACCCCGAAAAAGACTGCCTTCGAGAATCCGGAACCTAAGACCGAGAGTGCTCTAGAGTGGGGGAGGATCTAACGGAGTGACCCCTGTCTTTGGAATCCGTTTCTTGAAGGACCATGCGCCGCATAGGCTACGGAGAACACTCTTCCTGGAAGTTCCCGTATACATGTTTTAATCTGAGGGTTCAATGTTGTAATCTGTCTATATCAGGGATTGTCTTAGTCGAGGGTCTGCATTTGAGCTTGCGATGCCTCCAGGTGGGTTGCGCAGATATTAATAATATATCATGAGCATACTCCTACGATTGCGATTGTTATTATTACTATCATTATTGTCATTGTTATGGCTTGTTATTGTTATTATTACTCCTGGCACTACTAGTTACTAGTAAGGGGCTTTTCTTGTCTTGACGATCTTCGAACTTCCGCTGTTTAAGGATGCGTCGGTGCTTGAACAATTTAGTATTAGCATCCCATTGAGTCCATGTGCAAGGATTCTATAAGGGTGCCTGCAGAGGTTGTGCACGGCATTGGTTCAATCATTCTATAAAGAATCGGTAAGGTTGTCTACTAAGGTTTCTATAAACCTTCTATGATGAAGTCGGGTTTCTGATTGGGATATTGTAATTGGCTCCCTTTGAAGTTAGGTGGGGGTATCTTACTTAACGGTGCCATCTCCAATTTTTTCACCACGCACCCCGCCCCACTACGAGAACGGTGATAACGATGAGCATGATGGTTGTTGTAGCCTATCCATGACCCTCAACCCTGAACCCTAAATCCTAAACCGTGCCTATCCATGATGGCTGAAGCGAGGCTTCGTAAAGACAAACTATGACGGAAGCATCGCAGTTCCTCCGACTCTGATCTTCGTAGCACTAAGCAGAATGTCAGTCTACTGGCAATGGTAGCATTCCTGAAGAGCAGGGAATAATTTTCCCAAAAGGTGCATTCGCGTCTGCCTGAAGCCTTCCGCGGAGGGCTGGGTCGTGGAGAAGGTTGAGCCCACCGCTGCCGCCGCCAGCACCACCACCGCCACCAGTATCGCAGTCACCAGCAAGTAAACATCATCACCACGCACCACGCACCACGACCACCACGACCACCACGACCACCACGACCACCACCGCCGCCACCACCACCACCGCCGCCACCCCCACCACCACCACCACCACCGCCACCACCACCAGAAGAGGCATTTCTGGAGTATTGACTGCTTCTTGGCGTGGGTTTCACTTTGAGAGCATTCGGGCTAAGCCGGGATTTCTGGGATTTGAGCGTGTGTCAGTGGAGGCTTGCAAGCAACCTGGAGCTAGTACAGGGCTGGGGTCTGAAATTTTACCAACTGGAGGGTTCACGCCGAAGCCCTAACATAACATAATTGTATGATAATTCGGCATACCATAAGATAATTCAACACTGTAAGATAATGCGATATTATATGCGTATGTATGTATGTATGTATGTATGTATGTGTGTATGTATGTATGTATGTATGATTTAGACCCTTCCTCTAACAGTAACTTTTTTTTCCGTGTTTTCTGGTGCAGAACTGAACACTGAAATCTGGACGATTGATGGACGAAGTGAACACTTAAATCTGGACGATTGAACACTTAAATCTGGATGATTGAACACCTAAATCTGGGCGAATTGAACACTTCAGTCCGGACGATTTGACCACTTTAATTCGGGACGATTGAACCCTTCATTCTTGATGAATCGAACACTTAAATCTGGACGATTGACCACTTTATTCTGGACATTTGAACACTTAATCTGTACAATGTAACATCAGCTCTAGTTGGATGTGCAGGGGACAGGGTTACTGATGCAGTACCCTAAGGCCCGAACCCTAAACCCGAAACCCTAAATCCAAACCTTAAACCCCGAACCCAAAGCCTAAACCCAAACCCAAATCCCAAACCCCAAACCCTAAACCCAAACCCTAAACCCCAAATCCCTAAACCCCAAACCTCCCACATCCCAAACCCTACATCCTGAGCCTCCGTCTTCAAGCCTTTTCTCCCGACTCAGACAGCCGCTTCGCTGCGGTCCGCTCTCAAGATTTTAAGAAGTTCGCATGGTTACACACAGCACACGAAAGCCCTTGCAACCCTCAGTTCCGAAAACCCAAACCTTCAATATCTTCAAGCTTGCCCTGAAACCTGCATGCTGCATGAGGGTTTAAGGCTGTAGGGTCGCGAACTTTGACACCTCTTCTGCCCTTAGCCAGGATCCCCCGCAAATCTCGAAGCCTATGACACAGACCCCAAACCCTGGAAGTCTATACCGATAACCCTAAACCCTAAACCCTAAACCCCGGTTTCAGAAGCACAAGGGTGAAGCCTCCCATGTGCACGTTGTTTCGCGGTCCGGTGCATGTATGGAAGCCGCTCGGTGAGGATTTTTCAAGATTTGTGGTATGTTTCTCCATCGCCTTCTGTGGAACTCTAAACCCCAAGCCCTAAACCCTAAACCCTACCCTAAACCCAGGCCCTAAACCCTAAACCCTAAACCCTTGATCCTAGACCCTAAACCCTAAGCCCTAAACCATCAATCCTAAACTCCAAACCGCAAGCCCTAAACAGGAGTTTGTGTTTGAGGCTTGGGGCCTCAATGGTTTACTGTGGTTGACCTGGCTTGAATGGCTTACGGCTTCAGGGTTTCATGCTGCAGGTCTTGGGTTTAGGGTTGCGGGTTTAGGTGTTTAGGGTTTAGGGTTTAGGGTGTTTAGGGTTTTAAGGTGTAGGGGTTTCGGGGTTTAGGGGTGTAGGGGTTTAGCGGTTTAGGGGTTCAGGGATTTAGGGGTGTAGGGCTTAGGGACCACAACCAAAAGCTCATTGGTTTGAGCCCGAACCCCGTTTCTGGGTGCCCCGACACCCACCATACAACCTCTACGACCCAGAGTAGGCCCTTATTCCTTTTTTTAGGGTTCAGGTCGTCCCCTTATAAACCCCCTTTAAACCAACAAGGGCACCCTTTTTATTCCTAGGTTACTCTTAGGTCAAGTTTGTGTGAACTTGCCAGTATCAACACCTCTCTTGCAAATGGTTTCACGTGCCGATGCCTAGCCGTTTGCTATCACGATGGCCAGCCATTGCCAAGGATCAATACCTTAAATTACCAGAATCTACAATTTTTGTATGTTCTCATTGTGAACCCTTATCTAGTATCTTCGGGATCCTACAAAAAATGGGAGTTTTCATATGAATGAGACCGTGAAGGCAGCCCCATGCGTGTTCTCCCAGAGAGCCCAATACCCCTTAATTAAGGAATATAGCTTAAATCATAATATGAGCCCCCTTATAGTTTAAGGTATATTCTTTAATTAAGGAATCTTAGAATCCCCTAAACCCTAAACCCTATAGATCCCTTAAAGGATCCCTTAAAGGAATCCTAGGTATATTCCTTATTTAAGGGGTACTGGGCTCTCTGGGCTGAGGCGCAAGGAAAGTTGCGGCCAGCGAGTTTGAGGCCTTCTTCCAGGAGCCTAAATGGGTTTCCGAAATTGGGGGACCCTAATTTAGGGTTTAGGGTTTAGGGTTTATATGGGGGTTTCCGAAATTAGGGGACCCTAATATAGTACTAGGATCCGGAGTAGGCCCTTATTTCCTTTTTTAGGGTTTTGGGTTCCCTTATAACCACCTTTAAACCAAAAAGGGCACCCTTTTTATTCCTAGGTTACTCTTAGGTCTAGAGTACCCTGAATAGAAGGAAAGGGGTCTATAGAAGGCTTCCTTTACAGGGTTCCTATAAGGGATCTATAGGGTATAGGGTTTAGGGTTTAGGGTTTGGGAGTTTCCGAAAATTAGGGGGTCCGTATTTGGGGGTCCTTATAGTAAGGATTCTACTATTTGGGGTGCTATATTAGGGTCCCCTATTTTGGGAAACTCACAGATTGCTGTTCTTGGAACTGCCGTTATGTGTTCCTATTAATTACAACAAGACCCACGGCAATAGTACCACATACTATTTCTAGTAAGGGCGCTTAAGAACAAGACCCCCTAATTTGGAGGATTAATAGCCGATATTACCAACATTATTTTTTAGGCCTTTTTGTTTTGAGTTTTATTATGAATGATCTACACTGTCCACAGCCCTACTCCAACCTCTATAAACACGTCGGCTCCTTAACCTAGCTTGTCGGAAGACCCAGTAAATAGACCACCAGGATGGACCTTAAGTCTAGGGTCTAGGATTTGGGTTTAGGGTTTAGGGTTCAGGATTTAGGGTTTAGGGCCTGGGGTTTAGAATTTAGGGTTTAGGGTCACTCAAGGTTTGGGGTCTAGGGTGGAGCAAGAATCGTTGACCGGCACTACATTGGTGTGCCAACAAGGTGACATATTCGCTGGGGCAGGCGGTTGTTCTCTTTCGGCTTTGATGGAGATTTGGAACCCTAAACCCTGAACCCTTAACCCTAACCCCTAAGCCCTAAGCCCTAAACCCTAAGCCCTAAACCGTAAACCGTTATTCTCTTTCGGCTTTGCAAGATTTGGAATCCACCCTAAACCCTGAACCCTCAACTTCGGATCCTCAACCCTGAACCCCAGACTCCACACCTCAGGATCGTCAGCCCCTGATAGGGTCACTGTAGAACCTGTCTAAAACCCATAGAAAGACTATGGATCCATTGTAGAACTCCTACACGGGTTTGGAGCCATTACAGAACCGTCATAGAAGCCTGATAGAGCCCTCAAACTCTCAACAGCTTACAGCCTAAACCCTAAGCCTTTCAACCCCTAAACCTTTAAACCCGTAAACCCCTAAACCCCAAACTCTAAACCCTCAAAAGGCTCTAAGCCTCGGAAGCCCAAAGACTCCCATATCCCTTACTTAAGGAATATGCCTTCAGGACCTCTAATTACGGGATACTGGAGTCCCCGAAACCCTAAGCCTTATAGATCCCTTATAGATCCCTTAAAGGAACTCTGTAGATCCCTTATAGATCCCTTCGAGGAACCCTGTAAATCCCTTATAGATCCCTTAAGGAACCCTGTAGATCCCTGAAAGATCCCTTAAAGGAACCCTATAGGCCCTAAAGATCCCTTTATTGATAGAGCCCTCAATCCCTAAACCCTATAGATTCCTTCAAGGAACCCTTGAAGGAACCCTTAAAGGAACCCTAGGTATTATTGGGGTACGGCCCCCACTCGGTAATAGTTGAATTAATATTCATAATATAGATATAGTAGGACCTTAATAATAGACCCATTATAGACTCTTACTGTATGGGGGCCGTACCTAAGGTATTCCTTAAAAGAGGGATATTGGAGCCCTCAAACCCTAACCCTAAACCCTAAACCCTATAGATCCCTTAAAGGAACCCTTAAAGGAACCCTTGAAGGAACCCTTAAAGGATCCCTAAAAGGAACCCTTAAAGGAACCCTCATAAAAGGAACCCTTATAAAAGGAACCCTAAAAGGAACCCTTATAAACGGAACCCTTAAAGGAACCCTTAAAGGAACCCTAAAAGGAACCCTTAAAGGAACTCGTAAAAGGAACCCTTAAAAGGAACCCTAGGTCTTCCTTTTTTTGAGGGATATTGGAGCCTCAGAAGCCTGAGCCAAGAGTCGACTCGCCCCAAAGCCGCGGCGTTCTCCGCAGGACATCGACAGCTGGATCCTGCTCTTTGGGCGGTGTTCTGTCTTTTAGGGTTTTAGGGGTTTAGGGTTTTAGGGTTTAGGGGTTAGGGGTGTAGGGGTTAGGGTTTTAGGGTTTTAGGGGTTAGGGGTTTAGGGGTTTAGGGTTTAGGGGTTTACGGGTTTAGGGTTGTTTCTTACGGATTCCTTCACGACTTTTGTAAGGCCACTAGAAAGCTTAGGGCTTAGGGCTTGGGGTTTAGCGTACCGCACTGCAGCTCTCTTGCCGCTCGACCAGGATTTCCCCAACCAGGATTATGAAAGGATATGGTCTGCAATTCGGGCCAAGCGGAGAAACTTCGCAACCCTCCAAGCGCTCCCTTTTGAGGGTATCTTGAAGGGTGTGTTTTGAAGGCTCCTTTTAGGACTTCGTTGAGGTTTCCTTGAAGGGCTTCTTTAACGATCTTTGTAAGGGTTGTTCTAAAGGCTCCTGTAGCGATTTCATTAAGGGTTCCTCTGAGGGTTCCTGTAAGTTCTACAGTTTTCGTGATTTTGGGATTTTGCGATTTGGGGAATAAGCCCTTATAGACGACTGCCGGTTGCACGTTGGTTAAGCTGAGGGCAGATTGCATGGCACTTTGGCATTGCGATTTCGGGCTTGAGTTTCAGCCAAGGGTTCACTTAGAGGATCATGGGACTCAGTAACTAGGGTTATAAATAAGGTAACTATACTTATCACTACTTATAACCCCAGTTAAGGTACTTCTAACCTTACGTACTAAGTCCCATGATCCTCCAAGTAGATCCCTACCACTTTACAAGCTGGATAGCATTCTACCGAAATATCTCCACAGGTTTACACCTCCAAACTCTGAGTGCCAGAGTAACTCGCCTATAACCTTGAGAACTTCCCAGAGATCCCAATACCCCTTAATTAAGGAATTTACCTTAATTCACAATATTCTGGCTTCTATAATATAATATAAGGTATATTCCTCAATCAACGGGTATTGGGATCTCTGGGTAATGCAATCCAAAGTAGGCTATAGTTCTGACATCAAACTGGACACGCAAGCAAACCGCAACACTCCACAACCTAAATCCCTACAGCCCCAAAGGCGTAAACCCGTAAGTCTGCACCTCAAATCTTGAAACCTAGAAACGCTCTGGCCCTGAACCTCCCCAATAAACGGGTCTGAAAAAGTTAGTGCATCGTTATAATCCCCTGGACAGTTACACTGCAATCTACAGCAACAGGCTATGCTAACTATCAAGCGTGTTTTTAATCCTTATTCGACGTATGAAAAGACCCCTATACTGAAGCCTCATATCAAGCCCCTACAAGAGGCCTTGGGGGAACCCTTAGAGGAACCTCCAACACCATCCTTACCCAAACACTAAACCCTAAGCATCTTGCGACGCGCAGATGAACATTTAGGCCGACGTGCAGAGCTGCGCGTCCGAGGTGTGCTAGAAGAACCGGAACAGGCTTGCGGCACAGGCGGCTTGACTGGGTTTGACTGGCGGCCACTTCGAGGAATACGTGCCTGCAGCGCAGCACATAGGGGAGCCGTGGGCCGGTATACCGGCGAGCGTCGCCGCAAAGCCTGGCAGCGCGCTGAGTTGGGGAAATTCACCTTCGAGCTCTGGGCGTCAACTGAGCCTGAGGGCGAGTTGAAGGAGATGTTCTTCAGCGTTTTGCTGGCTGAGTCGCTGCTCGCCGTTTGGAACTTCTGTTGGACCACGATTTGCGAGGAGAGCTAGCTCTTTTGCATAGGGCGGAGGCGCAAGCGGTGGACGCTGTCTTTTACTTGCGCCATCTCATCCAACTGCGCTTGCTGCGGACCGGACAGCTGGGTCCAGTGGCATGGCTCGTCGCTCCTTGGCTGCGTCCGCCAGGGTTCTGTGGGTGTGTGTTCGCTTCGTGCTCTGTGCTGCGTCTTGCGCTCAAAGGTGTCCTTTCTCGTAGTTCCGCTGGAAGTGACGTCAATGTGGTCTGCTCGCTGAGTTGATCGTTGCTTGCCTGCTTTTTTCGGCACTGACAGGCCCTGCCAAGCGCTGATGTCTGCTGCTGCCAGGCTTCTTTCCTCACCCCCGTGCTCGTGGAGCCTACTGTGCTGCCCTTCCTGGAGCCCATCCGCTTCCCGACCATGCAGGACGCTCGTGGTCTTTTGCCCCCGCTTGCCGTCCGTCCTCACGGATCTGTGGGCCGAGGCGAGATGCTCGTCCTGTGAGAATCTGGGTACTCTCTAGACTCTCGGTCTAGGTTCGGCTGTGCACTGTTTCCGTTCTCCTGTGCATCTGCAGGTCAACATCGGCCGCTGCCTGAATTCCGGGCTACGAGCGCGGTTGATTGAGCAGTGGAGGCGCGTAGCTTCCCTCAAACCGTGAAGGTGGCTTACTTTGGGAGCTTGGCATTCTCGGTGGCTCGTGACCAAGACGAGCAGACAGACCGGAGCCCTGCCCTGGGAGCTGCCTCCGCGGTGCCTTTGGCAGGGCGCGAGTTTCGAGCGGCGACGCTTCAGATGCCCGCCTGCGCAAGAAAAGATCCCGAGCGTGCTGTGCTAGTGGCGGCCTTCTTTACTCACGACATGAGTCATGCCTTTTGTTGTGACCTTCTTCCGCGCCTGTGAACTTCTGCTCTTGCATGCAATCTCGCTTTGATGGCTTCTTGCCCACGGAAAGCCTGCCCAGCTTCGTGTTTTGGGGTGCCGCGCGTGACCCGCCTGCCTTCCGGCTGTGAGCCATGATCTCGATGGTCGCTCTCGACGTCTTCTCTCGCCGTGCACGTGCTTTTTTGCTGCCAGCCGACCTCTTGCCCTACCTACTGGCTGCGCAGGCCATCGACCGAGCCGACCCTTCGGGGTCCGCGCTCGCTTGCGAAGCTCGTGTTCGTGAGCAATTGCATGGCTGGCTTCTGCCCCTGGTGCAGCATGGAGTGGTCTCTCCATTGGCTTCCTTGGAAGTGCGACCTCCGCACGTGGCCTGGTTGCCATTTCCGCCTTCAATGTTGGTGTGCGGCGCACGCAGATCCTGACGTATCTTAATCGAGCTCGCCCCGACATTGTTGTGGAGACTCTCCGTGAGATCCTGCCCTATACGCGAGAGCTTCTTTGCTTGCTCCGCGTGAGCCCTTTGGACGCCCGCCGACCTCTCTGGGTGCCCGGGTTCGACCTTGCAGGACGACCCCTTTTCCGGCCGTCCACGTGCAATCACGACCGCGTGGCATTCTTCATGGTGCATCTTTGCTTCGAGGGCTATCACGTGGTGCTAAGCTTCGCGGAAGAGTCACCTGCCCTGCATCGCGCCGACGAGGCTCGGACGGGTGCTTCTCGAATGCCGACTGCATGCTTTCGCACATTCCCTGCCGCCCTGAGGCTGCTGGTGGTGTTGCGCCGTCCCGAGACTCCTCCTTTGCCATGCATGCGCGCTTTCAGGGCCCGTTCGATGTCGACGACTAGTGATCCAGATAAGGTGCAGGCTTTGTTTCAAGAGTCGCACCACTTCTGTGATGTGTAGTGGCCCAGTATTTACGGGCGTGACTCTCGTGGCACCTTGCCCATCGACATTCAGGCTCACTGCATGAAAGACAGTAAGGATGCCAGCACAGGATATTGGAAGCCACTTCTGCTGATCCTAAACCTTGCATACACTAAGCCCTACACACCTTAAACCCAGAACCCGAAACTTTAAACCTTGCATAAGCTCCAACCCTAAACCCTAAACCCTAACCCCTAAACCCTAAACCCCTAAACTCTAAACCCTAAACCCTAAACCTTAAACCCTAAACCCTAAACCTTAAACCGGACATCAGCCCAGGTCCAGAGAGGACTTCCCTGCTACAAAGGTCTTCTCGCTCCCGGGACGGTCTCTCGGATTACAACGCAGAATGCATCCATCGATTCTTTCATTCTCTAATTATGCATTTTATAACAATAGAGTAAAACCTCTGTGATTTTTGCTGTGGGGGCTTAAAGAATTACTATAGGGGCCTTAAAGTTCTTTTAGAAGGGTTCCTTCAAAAGGGTCCTATAAGGGGTACTTTAAGGATACAAAAGTATAGGGGGCTGAATAACTACTTATACTGTTTTGGGGGTTCCTTGTTATCAGTATAGTATAATAATACCCCAAAACCCTGTTCAGGCCCCTATGTCAATTTCTTTCTAGTGATCTCGGGGGTTGTTATGAGGGCTTTAGGTCCATTTGGGTTTTGGCGTTCAATCACAGGAGCCAACAAGGGATGTGGAAAATGGGTTTGAGTTCGGGCTAGGGTACCCGTACTCGGGGTCTTCCTCTTCGACTATCAAGTCATGTGCCTGAGGTTTCGCATCGTTCAGGGTGCAGCGGTTCCTTCCACGGTGACCTTCCCCTGCAAACCCATTAGATTGACCGACTCCTGCGGCGGGGCCTTTGTGAGTAGTTAGAACAGGGCGTAGGGGATACTTACATTACCCAGACCCCTACATTCAACCCCGTAATTTCTGAACCCCAAACTCTTGGGCCTAAACAAGCTGCCCTACCCTAAAACCCACCCAGCGGCTTCAGGATTACATACCCAGACATCTGCGAGCGCCTTGGTTGCACCACAGACGGGTTCTACAAGGATCCCTTGAGGGTCCTTACTGAGTCTAGGGGTCAAGTGAAGCCTCGAAACGTAAAATCCTAAATCGCAGGTCCTGCCGCCTAAACCCCTGAGCCTTAAATCCTAAACCCCTAAACCCTAAACTCTAAACCCTAAATCCTAAACCCCTAAATTTGATACCCTAAACCCCAAATCCTAAGCTCTGAAGTACAGCCCCAGAGTCAGGCCAGGCCCAAGTCTTCAAGCCCCCAAAACCCTTCAAAACCCCAACAGGGTTCCTTGTTAACGAGATCCATAAGGGTTCCTCCGTTTAGGGTTCTTTGAAGGCATCTATAAAGGGGCACCGTAAGGGTTTCTAGGTATCGATTTCGATTTTCCTTACTATAGAGGCATTGTATTAAAAATTGTAGGGACTGTTGAAATAGGATTGAAGCAACAGTTACCGCTACATAAGAATACGACGACTCGTGGGTGCTAAGTTGTCATGGTTGACATGGTTAGTAGTCACTGTTATAACGGTAGCAGCCTTGCGTGGGTGTGTGAATTAGCAGCAAAAACAGAGGAACGAGACTATGCCAATCGTAAGCACAAACCAAGACAGAATGGGAGATCCCGATTCCAAATCCTCTTCATTGCAGTTCCCACTGTCCTGCTGAATCTTTTTGGTACGAACATCCCGAAGAGACTTTTCCGTGATCCTCTCCTACTCAAGTAAGTTGGGGTAATCGTGTGTAGTGCAATCTGAAATGATTTTATGGTTACTGCGGTTTCGGGCTCATGGCAAGAAAGATTGAGGGGTTCCGAGGAGCATTTAGTATCAGGGTGCAGGATTAGAAGCTATCACGAGTCTGGCTTGAAGGTGCCAGGACATCTACCCAAACCCTAAACCCTAAATCCTAACACACTGGAAACCTTCAGTCGCATCCAAAATCCCGACGGCTGGAATGTAAGAGGTCTGCATTCGTTGTAATCTACTGCAAATGGGATCCTATTCTGGTTGTAGCACATTTTTCTGCCTATACCCCCAAAATCACTACGTACTCTCGGCAGGTACTACAAATTTCTGTCTATACTTCAATTTAATCGTTTTGGGAGGTACCTCAATGCGACAAGCGGCTGGCACAAGCTGCTTAAGCTCAGCTTTCTCTCCGACGAGCGAAGCGTGGAGGTTCGGCCCCGGGGCCTTCAAAGAAATCTTAAACTTAGATTCCCAACACCCACTAGGGCTTAGAGGGGTGTTCCTTAAAGGGACCTATAAGGGTTTCTATAAGGACTCTATAAGGGTTCGGGGGTATATTACAGTAGCTTAGAGTCCCAATACGCAACCTTTAAACTTTTTGGGTTCTTGTGGTTTCGTAGGAATCGGAAAGTTTAACCTTGTATTTCTATGGCTTATTGGGGTAGTAAGTAATGGAAAACTTAAAGGGCCCCCCTACTTAGAGGATCATGGGACTTAGTGACAGGTAGCTATACTTGTAATCCCAGTTAAGGCACTTATAACTTATAACCTTACTTACTAAGTCCCATGATCCTTCAAGTAAATCCCCAACCCCAAACCCTAAACTAGAAGAGCGCCAGAAACCGGGGGAGGAGTATCGGGTGAGAGGTTAGGGTTTAAGGGGACGACTTTTGTCAGGATTGAATGCTCGAGATATTATTCTCAAGACACTCTAAACCAAAACCCCGAACCCTAAAGCCTATCCTACACCGTAACCTCAAGCCCTAACCCCCAAAATCCTAAAACTCAAAATGATAGAACCCTTAAAGTACTGTAGGAGCCCGACAAAAGCCTCCACCCTAAACCCTAATCGCCCAAACCCCAAACCCTAAACCTTATAGAACCCTGAACCCTAAACGCCCAAACCCAAAAGCCCAAAAAGCCGTGAAGCCCGCGAGGTCTCTGCCAGCCGGGAGGTCAAAGACTCCGCGATCGGCAGGAAGCCAGCAAGGATTTTGCTGCAAGTGCGTTTACGGTTGCAAGGGTTTTAGGGTTTTAGGGCTTTACAGTCTTAGGGTTTAGGGGTTTAGGGTTTAGCGTTTAAGGGTTTGGCTGCAAGGGGGTTTGGGGAAGTTTAGGCTTTAGTCTAAATTGCAGACAACCCTAAACCTTAAACCCTAATCCCGAAGCCTTAAACCCTAAACCCTAAACCTTAAACCCTAAACCCTAAACCTTAAACCCTAAACCCTAAACCCTAAACCTCTGCTACTTTGGGAATGGAAGCCTTGATTTGTGCAGGATGGGCAGTGCAGCAAGCTACGTGCGAGGCCACGGCCCAGGCCCTCCATCTCAAAGGGGAAAAGGAGGGACCCTTAATGGGGACCCCTACCCAAGAATGGGCCAAAAAATGGGTATAGAATAGCTATATTAAGGGTATATACCTAGGCTTGGATCAATTTTTTTAAAGGGTTTTTGGGGTTTAGGCGGTTTAGGGTTCAGAGGTTAAGGCTTAGGGTGTAGGGTTCCTTTTCAAGAGGGGCTTTTGGGGTTTAGGGATTAGGGTTTTTCTGCACCTGATAAGAGTTGAGGGTCTAGGGTTTGGGGCTCCCGCAGAGTAAGAGTTGAAGAATACCAACCTAGATATCGAAGGCCTTATTCGTAGCCCACTTGTAGGCTGTTGCGGCATCGGGGCAGCACCCAAGCTTTTAGGATCATGCATTGTCTGCTTTTTTGCTCAGGGTTGTTTAAGGTGTTTGTACGCATACTCGTTGTGCGTACGCATGTTTGTGTTTATGGATTTTTGGATGGACGGATGGATGGATGCATGGACGGATGGATGGATGGACGAATGGATGGATGTATGCGAATTTATGTGTACATATGTACATGTATGTATACGGGCGGTATATTGTATATATATATATATATATATATACACACATACGTATGTATGTAAGTTTGCATGTATGGATGTATGTATGTATGGATGGGTATGTGTACGTGTGCACATGTTGGTAGATGTACAAATGATTCTGTATGTATCTGTATGTATACAGAAACAAAGTTTGCGTCGACTTAGACATAGACAGATATACACATAAGTTTCACTATAGGTATCAAACTCACAGATGGAGTACCGAATATGAAATACAGAAATGTGAACTATGAATCTGAGAAATGTATACACATTCATAGGTGTGTATGTATGTGTATACACACACGTGTATGTATGTATGCATGTATGTATGTATGTATGTATGTATATATATATATATATATATGTGTGTGTGAATACAGTCATATCTACTGTACAAACAAGTAGTACATACATGCATGTATATACACACATACTGCTGCATGTATATGTACACATACATGCATACATGCACGTACATGCATATGTATGTACAGATGTGTATATAAGTAAATAAATATACACTTGTATATATGCGCACATTTACATCGGTTGGAATGCGTTGTGTCAGGCTGTTTCAAAGGTTTCTATGCAGCCACCATATGGTGGTTGTTTGTGTTGATATGGTTTTCTGTGAGCGTATAGCTCAAGGTTTAGGATTTAGTGATAAGGGCCGCAGACCTCAGCCGGTAGCACCCCCAGCCATAATCCTAACTAAGACTTGCGACCTCCACACGGCCTAAACCCCGAGCCCTAAACCCCAAACCTTACCCACTGCGCCCTAAATCCTGAACCATATTCTCTGTGCCCTTTTCGGACCTCTTTAAAAATGCGCAGACCCCACGAAACACTGTAGAAATCCCAGAAGCTGCAGATTCCAAGCGCCAGCGGATCGAACAGAAGCCGCTGACCTCACCGAAGGCCAAAGCGAAGTTGGGGGCCTGGCAGTAGGGTTCCTTTAAAGGGGTCTATATAAGGGCTACTATAAGGGATCTACAAGGGTACTCTGATATAGGGGCCTTAATAATGAGACTAGGGTTTTGGGACCCATTATACTGTAACTTAGATCCCCAATACCCAACCTTTAAACTCTTTGGGTTCTTGGAGTTTAGTAGGAATAGGAAAGTTTAACCTTTCAATTCTGTGGCTTATTGGGGTAGGACGGAATGATATCAGAAATGATGACAATAGTGATAGTAGCAATGATGAAACAAAAAACAAGACGAGCATTATAGCAAGAGTAGTAACAATATAACATTCCTGTCTTCGGGATTTGGGGTCAGGGCTTGATTGAGGTTCTGGAAACAGCATTGTAGGGTTTTTGAGGGTGCTGGACAAGGTTCTTGAGAGTTTGCGGTTTCTAGTTTGACGCTTGGGGTTCAAGGCTGCAGATTTGCGGCTGCAGGTCTGTCAGAGTGTTCGACCACTCGCGCTAAAGCCAAAATCCAAAATCCATAATCCGAAACCCTGGACCTTCAGACACCTCCGGACTAAAGGCTTTGAGACATTTATTTGTGGTTTAATTCATGTTTCTGTGTTTGACATCGGGCATGCAGGGCTCGAGGTTTGGGTGGGGGGCTGTGGGAACCGCAAACACTGGGCCGGAAGTCTTGAACCCTGCAAGCCTATCATGACAACCTCAAACCCCTAAATCTTCAGTCCCATAACAACTCTACTAAACCCAAAATCCCACAAAAGCCCTACACTTAGCAGCTCAAAGCCTTCCCAAATATCCATGTCTGCAAGCCCCACATCGTACACTCTTGCAGCCCAGGGGCCCCGTACCGACAGCCCACTGATTCCAGGGAAAAATGATTCCTCAAACCCCAGAAGTTCATACATTCTTAGCAAGGGGCTGCGAGGCTCATCCGGGCCCCAAGACCTGAACCCCGAAACCCCTAAACCTGTATTACTAAACCCCCGAGCCCCTAAACCCCTAAACCCTTAAACCCTAACCTAAACCCTAAATCCCTAACCCCTAAACCCTAGACCCCTAAACCCTAAACCCTAACCACCTAGGTCGATGAGCAGAGGGGAGCCACCCCCGGGTCCGCCCCCGCCGCTGCCGGCGGCGGAGCCGGTGGGGGCGGTGGTGCCCGTTCTGGAGTTCGAAGGAGCCTGGCTTGTAGAGGTAATCGAAGAAGTCGTCAACAAGATGATCATAGAAGTGGTGGTGGTAGTAGCAGCAGAAGCAGAAGCAGAAGCAGCAGCAGCAGCAGTAGCAGGAGCAGTAGCAGCAGCAGAAGCAGTAGCAGTAGCAGTAGCAGTGGCAGTGGCAGTGGCAGTGGCAGTGGCAGTGGCAGTAGCAGTAGCAGTGGCAGTGGCAGTGGCAGTGGCAGTGGCAGTGGCAGTGGCAGTCAGTGGCAGTGGCAGTGGCAGTGGCAGTGGGCAGTGGCAGTGGCAGTGGCAGTGGCGCTGGCAGGAGCAGGAGCAGTAGCAGTAGCGGCAGCAGCAGCCGTCGCCGTTGTCGTCCTCGTCGTGGTGTCGTGGAGGTGGTCGGTAGGAGTATAGTCTCAGAAGGCTTGGATATGTTGGCTGTAGGGTTTTAAGAACCTAGCAATGCAGGGTTTGTCCATGCGGATCGTGTTTCCCCCCTGCAGGGCTGCATGTCTGCAAACCCATCATCTAACAAAGGCCACCTGATGCGAATCTGCGCGCTTGTGGACCTTGAGAACACTCAACCTGTTTCTAGTCTAGAAACCATCGAAACCGTGGATGGCGCTGTCTGGCCTGGAATCATTGGGCAGGGTGGGATGGCAAGACGCCGAAATATGTGGAGCAGTTAGCCCTCAACTGTGCATTTGCCCATCATGTGCTCAACCTTTTCTAGATTCCACATGCTGGTAGATACTATCTATCCATCCATCCATCCATCCATCCATCCATCCATCTGCCTGTCTATCTATTTATGGGCCTAAACCCTAAACCCTAAAACCCTAAACCCGAAAACCCTAAACCCTAAACCCCAAACCCCGTAACCCTAAACCCCTAAACCCTAAAACCCTAAAACCCTAAAACCCTAAAGCCCTGAACCCTAAGCCCTAAGCCCTAAGCCCTAAACCCTAAGCCCTAAACCCTAAAACCCTAAACCCTAAACCCTAAAACCCTAAAACCCTAAAGCCCTAAGCCTTAAAACCCTAAAACCCTAAAACCCTAAGCCTTAAAACCCTAAAACCCTAAAGCCCTAAGCCCTAAAACCCTAAAACCCTAAAGCCCAAACCCCGTAACCCTAAGCCCCTAAACCCTAAAACCCTAAAACCCTAAAACCCTAAAACCCTAAAACCCTAAGCCTTAAAACCCTAAAACCCTAAAGCCCTAAGCCCTAAAACCCTAAAACCCTAAGCCCTAAAACCCGAAACCCGAAGTCCTAGAAGCCCTAAACCCTGGGGTGTTTCGGGCCTCGCAGGCTCAACCTTCGACGTCGATCTATCTATCTGTCTAAACGGTTTAGGGTTTAGGGTTTAGGAGTCTAGCTATCTATGCATCTATCTGGCTATCTAGTTATCTATCTATCTCTCTATCTATCTCCCAGAGGCTCCTCATATACTACCACTATGGAACTAGGTGCCAGAAGACCATCCTTGATATGGTTTTAGGGCCCTAATTCCATGATGGTAGTTTTTGAGGAGTCTGGGTCTGTCTAGCTATCTATGCATCTATCTGGCTATCTATCTATCTGTGTATATGGGTGGTTGTCAAAATTAGGGTCCCTTTTTGGGTCCCTAATATAGTACGGCACCTAATATTTGGGGTGCCCAGAAAAGGGCCATAATTTTGACAACCACCCATATATGTCCATCTATATCTAGCTTGCTAGATATCCCAGAGACTCCAAGATCCCTTAATTAGGGAATATTCCTTAAATTATAGTAGGACCCCTAATATGATATAAGGAATACTCCCTAATTAAGGGATATTGGAGTCTTTGGGATCTATCCTATAATAGTGGTATAATAGGAATATAATAGGGCCCTAATATAATCCTTATAGTCACTATTACAGGGTGGGGGCAGCTTCTAATAGATATCTATCCTAGGATCTCCAGTAGTACCCTTATTCCCTTTTTGTAGTCCTAGGTTCCTTTTTATTCTTAGGTTACTGGGCATCCTAGTGTCTAGTACCAGGAGTGCGCGTCTTCGTCGTCCAGTCCGACGGGGGCCTCGGCCTCACCTCGGAGCAGAAGTCGACGGTGCGTGCGGGCTTTAGGGCTTAGGGCTTAGGGTTTAGGGTTTAGGGTTTAGGGTTCAGCAGCTCCGGATCGAGCAGTTTTAAAGTACAGTTGTGTTTACGGTTTAGAAATAACACCCACCCACCCTCAGAATCCCATAACATCAGGGAAATACAAAGTTTCACTTCTTTCACAGCTTGAAACCTTAAACCCTGAGCCCTTAAACCCTAAACCCTTAAACTCTGAACGCTTAAACCCTGAACTTTGAAACCTCGAGAATTGGGCCTATCCGACGAATTCCATTAAGCTTGGTCTGGAAGTTTGGGCCTATCCCACGAATTCCATTAAAGTTGGTCTGGAATTGGGCCTGTCCCACGAATTGGTTTGGGCCTATTCCACGAATTCGTGGGATAAGGCCCAAACTTCCGGACCAACCTTAATGGAATTCGTGGGATAAGGCCCAATTCCAGACCAACCTTAATGGAATTTGTGGGATAAGGTAATGGATTTCGTGGGATAAGGCCCAATTCCAGACCAACCTTAATGGAATTCGTGGGATAAGGCCCAAACTCCGGACCAACCTTAATGGATTGCGTGGGATAAGGCCCAATTCCAGACCAACTTTCATGGAGTTCGTGGGATAAGGCCCAAGTCTTGACCAACCTTAATGGATTTCGTGGGATAAGGCCGAAGTCTTGACCAACCTTAATGGATTTCGTGGGATAAGGCCCAAGTCTTGACCAACCTTAATGCAATTCGTGGGATAAGGCCCAATTCCAGACCAACCTTAATGGAATTCGTGGGATAAGGCCCAAGTCTTGACCAACCTTAATGGATTTCGTGGGATAAGGCCCAAGTCTTGACCAACCTTAATGGTTTTCGTGGGATGCGGCCCAAACTTTCGTGGGATAAGGCACAAGTCTTGACCAACCTTAATGGTTTTCGTGGGATAAGGCCCAAACTTTCGTGGGATAAGGCCCAAGTCTTGACCAACCTTAATGGAATTCGTGGGATAAGGCACAAACTCCGGACTTGGGTCTTATCCCACGAATTCCATTAAGGTTGGTCCGCAGCTTGGGCCTTATCCCACGAATTCCATTAAGGTTGGTCTGAAATTGGGCCTTATCCCACGAAATCCATTAAGGTTGGTCAAGACTTGGGCCTTGTCCCACGAAATCCATTAAGGTTGGTCCGGAAGCCTGGGCCTTATCCCACGAAAACCATTAAGGTTTAAATTACTATATGATAAAGAGGTTTAGGGTTTAGGGTTTAGGGTTTAGGGCTTAGGGTTTGGGGCTTAGGGTTTAGGGTTTAGGGTTTAGGGTTTAGGGCTTAGGGCTTAGGGTTTAGGGTTTAGGGTTTAGTCTTTATGTTGGGGCTTACGGTTTGGGGCTAAGTAGGGTTTAGGGTTCAGGGGTTAGGATTTAGGTTTTAGGGTTGAATTCTTGCGGTTCAGGGCTTTTGGGTTCAGGGTTTGGGATAAAACCCGAACCGCAAGCTCTAAACCTGTAATGTTTAGAAACAAGTTCGCGGGTCTTTATTTTACCCCACCCTGGCCCTACCCTGGATCGGCTTAGGGTTCGACATGAGGCTTAGAGAGAGATTTGCTTTTGGTGTTTCAGAGTTTAGGACAGATACTCGATTCATAACATCTTCCTCCGTTTGTAAATAGTTTAGGAGCGTTGTTGTAGGAATTTCGAGACTACGGCCCGTTAAAAGAAGTGCTTGATTCATCAGGGTTTACGTTGGGTTTCCGAGTTAGTTTAGCGTGTCGTATCAATCCACCCCATGATTTCGGGGGTAGTTCTCAGGAATGCCCGACGCTCTTTCACAACCTCTAAGCAAGAAGCACCCTGGCAGTCCTTGACACTTATACAACGGTAGACTCCAACACCCCATTCCAGTCACCAAGGGAATGTTCTGAATCGCGATGGATTGACGTTTGAGAGACCTCTCCGAGCGGCATTCAATGCTTTACTGCTATGTTGGCATGATCGTCGCGACACCCTCAGCCCCAAAACTCCTAAACCCGACTACCTCTCCAGCGTGACCACGGCGGTTGTTGTGACGTCCACTTCTGAAGAGGAGGAGGCCGGGGAGCAGACCTGGTGAGCCTCGCAGAAAGCATCCCTCGTGACGGGGGCCCAGAAGAACCTGCAGTCGATTCCTCGACCTGATGGCCTCGGCGAGCATGTCCTGCAAGGCTGAAGTGGGGAAGTACGACCTTTATGCGGCGGTCCGCTATTCTATGATCATCTCCGGCGGCGGAGCCTACACGGCGCTCATCCCCGGAGTCTTGGATTACGGAGGCGACGACACCAGGGCCATCCAAGCCACCGCCTGGGCAGGCGCAGCGAGCCAGATGCTGACGGAGGCTCAGGCAATCGTCGGGGCAGTCGGGGCCGAGGTCTATCATAGGAGGCCAAAAGGGGTTTTAGCCTGTGGGGGTTTAGTAGGGGTTGGGGTTCCCATAATACGGAATCCCTACCACAAGAATCTTAAACCCACCTCTTGGCCTCCCATCAGTCTACTTCATAAACCAGGACCCAGAGTAAGCCCTTATTCCCTTTTTGGGGGTTCAGGTTCCCTTATAAGCCCCTTTAAACCAAAAAGGGCACCCTTTTTATTACTCCTGGGTCTAGTAAACGAACACCACATGGCCCATCAAGCGGGACGCGGCCGACCACATCCCATGAACCCGCGAGCCGCAACTCCGAAGAAGCCTTAGGTTTAGGGTTTAGGGTTTAGGGTTTAGGGTTTAGGGTTTAGGGAGAACCCGTCTAGAAACCCTGGCGAGCCATGAAGGAACCCTTAGCTTAACCCCAAGTAACCTACAGTTTTAAGGACTTTTACAAAGAAATCATATCAGGGAACCCTAAAAGCGGTAGGTTCCTTAGGGTCCAGGTAGCTTCAACACCCAAAGCTTGAACCCAGAGACTCCAATATCCCTTAATTAAGGAATATTCCTTAAATCATATTAGGGATCCTATTATAATTTAAGGTATATTCCTTAATTAAGGGATATTGGAGTCTCTGGGAAGTCGGAGGTGGAGAACACCGTCCTCGCCCTCGGCGGCCATGTGGCCGCTGATGCCAAGTCTGCTACGCACGCGGCCGCCAGGCAGCTCTAGAACGTGACTCCGCAAACTCCCGTTAGTGGTCTTTGGGTTTAGGGCTTAGGGGGTTTGGGGCGGTTAGTGTATTCAGGGTTTGGGGTACTTGAGATCCTTGATCTGATTTTTGGTCTATTCCTTTATTTTCGGGTTTTGTAGGGTCTCTGGAATCTGGTTGAAGCTCGATCTGCGCAGCCCTAACCGTATTGGACTTTGGTTTTCTGGGGCTTAGGGGAAGTCATACACTGCCCAGCTGCGTTCTGGTCCTTTGTTTAGGGAGTTTATGATTCTTCACATGGTTTTGATTCATGGGTGTCCTTTGAAACCCCAGCCCTAAACTTGGCACGAAGAAGAAAAACACATTTTGCAGGATCCTAAGAACCGAGTTTGGGGCAACGATTGACTACTGTCCTTATCCCCCTAAACCCTAAACCTCTGAGCCCTAAATCCAATACCCTGAATCCTAAACCCCGAAGCCCTATACCCTATAGTCTTTGGTACCTAAACCCGGAGCTCAGGTCTTTCCGAATCACATGATGAAAGCCGAATCCTGGCAAGACTGGAACCGCAAGGGTGCTTGAAAGGGTTCTTTACCCAGACCCCCAGGAGGATCTAGAAAGTAGATCCCCTAATTTGGGGCCCTATACTACTCTGGGTGCTTTATAGGAACCCCCAGTAGGGGATATACTTTTTTTGGATCCTCCCGGGGTCTGGGCAAGGGTTCCATAAGACACCCATGCGGACTTCATAAAGCTGTAAGCCTTTGTCGGGATTTGAGGGCTGTCGGGGGGGAGGGGGCGGATTCGTGGGGGTGTGGTGCACAGGTTTTGGTGTTTAACTGGAGGTTATAGGAATGGGGCTTCGGGTGAAGATTTTTTTGTAGAGACATCAAAAGTGCCTTATTTCATAACATCTTAAGAATAGTCCGGCCATTTCTTTGAGAACTCTTACAGGATCTCTAAAACCCTAAATTCCCACTCGTTCTGGGGATTTGTTGCGGTAAGGCTTCTTCCCTCGGGTCACCCAAACACTCGGGGCCGGCGCTATCCCCATAAGAGCACCTAAATGCCACGGATATAGGCCTTAGTGTATGTGTATGGATGGTCGATTGTAGCACAACTTTATGGTTGCGTACACATGAGCATTAATCTAGGGGCCTTAATAATTACCTATACTATTTTACTCCTGAGAGGCGCCTCGGTGGTTGCGTGCGTCCCCGGAGTGTACCTCTACGGGTCAGCGACCCAGCTGATGGACTCTTAGGGTTTAGGGTTTAGGGTTTAGGGTTTAGGGTTTAGGGGTTTAGGGGTTTAGGGTTCAGGAATCTCTGAGGGTCCGATAGCCACGCCGGTGGACTACGGCAACAGAGTCCGCCACATCTACTGTGATACGCGGAGCCAAGCACGTGGCTGCGCTTGAGATGCTGGGTGCCTCAGTGGTTCAGCCAATGTCACAGATGCTCGTGGCCCTCCTGGCTTCCGATGGGAAGAAGATATTCTGGCACGATGATATCAGGTCGTCGCAGAATCAACCTCCGACTGAGGAGGACTACAAACGGGACAACGAATTGGAGGCGATGATCAGACACTGGCCTGGGCTCTCCCTGGTGGCATCCCTATTAAATAAGACGACCTTCGGACTAACGGCACGCCAAACAGGGAGCCTGTTATAGAACAGAGAACACGTTATCAAGACCTTATGTAGACCTGGAAGCCGTATAAGCCCTACAAAGCCCAATGCTTGGGCTTCGGGCAATCGCCGAGACGCCTTGTGAGGATTGGCTTGAGCTCTGAACCTTCGAAAGCCCTAAACTAAACTCTAAACCCTGAGCCCTAAACACTAAACCCTTAACCCTAAACTGAACCCTAAACCCTAAACCCTAAGCGCCAAACTCTAAACTGTAAACCCTGACGCCTTCTGAGGATTGGCTTGAGCTCGAGCCCATTGCCGCAGAGGTTTGGCAGAGTGGCGGCAAGCTGGTGACTTTCAAGTGGTTTCAGGCGCCCCCGGTGTACTTAAAGGATCATGGGACTTAGCAACTCGGGTTCCTTTAAGGGATCCATCCGGGTTTCTATTAAGGGTTCTATGTGGGTTTAAGGGGTATTTAAAGGATCATGGAACGTAGTAACCAGGGTTCTAAACAAGGTAGCTGTATTTTCAGTGGCTTATAACCCAAATTCAAGGACTTATATTATAACCTTTCTTACTAAGTCCCCTGATCCTCCAAGTAGGGCTCTTGTATGCACACAGGGCTTAGGGTCAGGGTCAGTGCTCTTGTAGGTGAGAGCCCAGGAATTTAGGGCTTAGGGCTGTATAGGCTCTGGCTTTCCTACATGAGCCTTAAATCTGTTCTGATTTAGGCTTTAGGCTTTAGGGTTTGGGGGGTTTAGGGTTCAGGGTTTAGGGTAGAAAGTTTTGATTCTGCAGCGCAGGGCTGGGGTTCAACGGTTGAGGGTCTGCTGCTGAATGTTTAGGGTTTAGGGCTAGGGTATGGGGGTATGGTGTTTTTTGGCTCAGGTTTACATGGAAGCACTCAGACTCATACCCAGAAATCCTCAGCCCGAAGCACTAGAATCAAAGCCTTATAGGATTCTTGTTTGACCTGCACAGGACCGTTACATGCCCTAAACCCTAAACCCTAAACCCTAAACCCTAAGCCCTTATACCGCCGAAATGTAAAAAGCCGGCTGTGGGTTAGAGGCTCCCAAATCCAGGACCCCCTAAGGCCCTTTAATGGAGCCCTTATGGCCCTGGTTTAGGGTTTAGGGTTTAGGGTATTTGGGGTTTATTAGAGGGTAGTTGGGGTGTCTAGGATTCGACTGAAGCTTGAAATGAAGCCCTCAACCCTAACCACCCTGGGTGTAGAGTTGAGGTTTTACTTGAAGGATCAGGGGACTTAGTAAGTAGGTTATAACTGGGGTTATAAGTCCCCTAAGTGGGGTTATCCTAATTATAACCTAATTATAACCTTACTTACTAAGTCCCATGAGCCTTTAAGTAGGCCCTAGCCACCTCCGCCGCTGCAGGAAGTCACGGAGGGAGGCCTCTGCGCACAGGACTCACAGGAGTGCACAAGGCCCTCTTGGGGGCTTCTTTCAGAGTCACGGTTTAGGGTTTAGGTTTTTTTCAGAGTCAGCTTGATTGCGAAACCCTGTGTTCTGGCCCCAAATTTTGGGGTACTATAGGGGTTCCTGCTTCAAGTAGAAGCCCGAAAGGGCCTTTGGGTTTTTGTATGACGAACCCACACCCAGAGAGCCCAATACCCCTTAATTGAGGAATATACCTTAAACTATAAGGGGGTTCATATTATGATCTAAGCTATATTCCTTGATTAAGGGGTATTGGGCTCTTTGGGCAAACCCGGTTCCTTAACAAATAGAATAGGGTTTTGGGGCTATATTTTGGCAACAATACCGCGGGGACAAACGTGCAGCTTAGGGCATGAAGCCGAAACTGTGAAAGCCCTCAGTTCGAACTAGGGTTTAGGGAAAGTTTAGGGTTTCGAGTCTTTATGAAGACCCTAATAGCAAGCATCACCATAAACCCAAATTACACCCTAGAGCCTAAACCCTAAACCCCTGCAAAACCCGGATAGTCACCCTAAGCCCTAAACCCTAGAACCTAAACCCTAAACCCCTAAACCCATAAACCCCTAAACCCCAAACCCTAAACCCCAACCTTAAAACCCTACACCCTAAACCCTAAACCCTACACCCCGTTGTCAGGTTCATGCCAGAGGAGTACCAGCAGCTGATCGCCCATGGGAAAGGACTCTGGGTTCGTGTTAAGCGATGTAGTTTAAGTTGCCATAATAGGGATCCATGAGGGCTCCTTCAAGGGATCTATAAGGGCTCCTTGAAGGGATATAGGGTTTAGGGTTTGTGCAGGGCTTAGGGTTTAGGGGTTTAGTTTAAGTTACCATAATAAGGAAGCCGCATCATGTACTATAGATCCCTACGGTTGATGATATAAATCCTGCATGACCCACAATAAGGAATATACCATAATTCCCATAGTTTGGGGTCATTCAGGCAATGCAGGATTTCTATCATCAACCGTATTATGGCAACTTAAATAGAATCCCTTAGCAAGAACCCAGGACTGAAACCAGCGGGCAAGCGCGTGTCGCGGGTGAAGGCAGCCTTTGACGATTCCTTTCAGGGTGTCTTTAAGGTTCTTTAAGTGTTTAGTGAAGGGTTCCTTTAAGGATTCCCCTAAGGGTTTGGGGTTTAGGGTTCAGGGTTTGGGGGTTCGGATTTAGGCTTAAGGTGTTACGGCTTTAGAGGGATCAAGCGTGAGGGTTTTGGGGGACAGGATTTGGGTTCAGATGGGATCTACAGGGGTTTAGGGGTGCCGGCTCGGGGCTGTTGAGGGAAGGCTTAGGCTTCGGGCCCACTGTCTGGCCACAACCTCCCTAAACCATAAACGAAAAGCCCTAAAACCTACACCTTAAGCCCTAAGCCCTATGGATCCCTTAAAGGAGCCTTGAACCATAAACCCTAAAACCTACACCCTAAGCCCTGAGCCCTAGACCCTTTTAAACCCTGAACCTTAAAGCCGGACCCGAATCGAAGCTGGTAGCTTTATTCAAAGGGGAAAAGGAGGGACCCTTAATGGGGACCCCGACCCTATAATGGGCTATACAATGGCTATATCATAGCTATATAAAGGGAAAAAAAACCTAGGGGTCCTTATTAAGGGTCCCTCCTTTTACCCTTCGATTTATGGTTCAAGGGGTTTAGGGTTTCGGGTTTAGGGTTTAGGGTTTAGGGTTCAAGGCGGTCTTTCTCGAAGCCTCTGGGCTTCAGGGGTTGAAGCGCTCACCGCCCACAAGCCCTGACACATTTGGGAGTTTCCGAAAATTAGTTTGGGGTCCTTATAATCAGTATCCTACTATTTAGGGTATCTTAGGGTCCCCTATTTTTGGAACCCTTGAAAGAAGCCGCACGGCTTGCAGAACCCTAAACCCTAAACCCTAAGCCGCAAACCTTATATGGATCCCTGGATCCCTTAAAGGAGCCCTAAACGCCAAAACCCTAAACCATCAACCCTAAACCCTAAACCGTAAGCGCTAAGCCTGATATGGAAAACCCTAAAGCTTAAGCCCTAAACCTTATGGATCCCTCAAAGGAGCCCGAAGGTCTAAAACCCCAATTCCCACTTTTCTTTCGGAGGCTCCTTCTGCAGCGGCTCCTGAGCTGACGAGATCCTTGCAACAGACCAAGGCGCTTCTTCTTTCTTCTTCTTTCACTTTTTTAGTTGCTTTTATTCTTTTTTATTCTATTGTGTTTTGTTTTATTTTCTTGTGATTTTGTTATTGTTGTCTTAATTCTTCTTGTTTCTTGCTTCTTGAGGTTTAGGGTTTAGGGTTTTCTTGCTCTTTCTTCTCAGCTCTGTGTTGTTCGTGCTTCTTCTTCTTCTTCATCCTTTCTTCTTTCTTCTTCTTGCGGGTGTTTTATTCTTCAATTGCTGTCTTGAAGTCTTGCTTTCGTGCTCTTCAGGTCTGGGGCATGAACTATAGTGCTTTGGAATTACTATGACTGCCCATATTATGGAGGATTGCCCGAACCGTGCGCACAAAAGGAACGCGAGGTTTAGGGTTTAAGGTTTAGGGGTGGGTAGCATTACGGCTTTATTTGCCGTTGCCTGGTCCACGCATCATCTTGATGCCGATGTCGTTGGAAGTATACCCTAAACCCTAAATCCGAAACGCGAGACCCCGAAACCCCGAAACCCTCCAGCCCGAAGCCCCAAACCCCTATAAACCGTAAGCCCTAAAAGCTCTCAACGGACCATGGAGTCGATTCTGCCAGAGCACCGAGGTCAGAATAAAGAAGAAGAAATAGTTCGCAACAAGACCAGTAGTAATCTTCACTAGTAGTCGTCGTAATGGGTATAATTACAATAATAGCAATACATCACAGAGCCTGTGCTGGACCTTCCCAGTCTTCGGCTTGAGAAAATTGTCCATAAACACAAAAACACTGATTTCCAGCAGTACACAGCTGAAAATCTTGGCTGAGGAAGGCGGACGGGCGCCACGCTCACCTGTCATCCGTGCAATCCTAATCCTCAGAGCCCGAAATCCTCAACCAACGACCCCAAGACTGCCTGCGACTCCTCAGCTTAGGGGTACTTAGAAATATTTTTAAAGTTTTGGTGATTATAATCCCTAAGAAACAGCTAATTTTCAAAAACTGTTTAGTCAGGCCTTCCTCCAGCGTCCGTCGGGCGAGGAGGAGAACGGGATTCAGATATTCTCTCTCTCTCGGCAACTGAAAAGTGGAGAAAGGTATTGCAGGGTGTGTGTAGAGAGGCGTGCTAGGGTTTCCAGGGATTTGGGCTCTCACGGTATCGTAAAGGTGATATTCCTTATGATTGCCGTCGCTCAACTCTCTGAATCCGCCATGTAAGGTTGATGTTCTGGTTTAGGCCTTCTGGGGGTTTCGGGGTTCTGAAACCCCATAAACCTCAGGTGCCAATTCAACTTCTGAAATGAGGCACGTACGCTGAGCCTAAACCACTCCAGTATCCTTTAACCAAGTAAGGAAGATTCTTCAACTCATAGTAGGATCCCCAACATGATTTAAGGAACGTTCCTTTATTCAGGGGTATTGGAGTCTGTGGGAACCCTAAACCCCAAAGGAGGCCTTATAGATCCTTCAAAGGAACCCTAAGTATTCCTTAACTCAGGGCTATCCGAGTCTCTGCGAACCCCAAACTTGGAGGATCATGGGACTTGGTAAGTAAGGTTATAAGTACCTTAATTGGGGCTATAAGTATAGTTACCTTACTTATAACCCTAGTTACTAAGTCTCATGATCCTCTAAGAACCCTCCAACACCCATATATAGAACCCTTAATATAGATCCCTTAAAGGATCCCTTCAAGGAGCCCTAGTTACTAAGTCCCATGATCCTTTAAGAACCCCCAAAACCCTTATAGAACCCTTAATAGTGGAACCTGTATAGATCCCCTAGGAGCCCTTTTAAAGGAACTCTAGCCCTAGTTACTAAGTCCCATGATCCTTTAGGTAGGCCCCATAGTAGTTCCTTTTTGGGGTTACCCCTGAACCCTAAACCCCAACATGAACCCCCAAAGGAACCACTATGGGCCTATGGGTAGGGTCATGCAGCGGCTCCCTGTGACTCCTTCTTCTGCTTGGGAGCTCTGGAGCCAAAGGGCGAGGCAGAGCCCCTGTACTACAGGGGTGTAAACAGTTTAGGGGTTTAGGGGTTTAGGGGTTTAGGGGTTTAGGGGTTTAGGGGTTTGGGGGTTTGGGGGTTTGCGGTTTGGGGTTTAGGGTTTAGGGCTAAAGACTACTTGGCATTGGGTTTGTATCTGAGCTGTAATGAGTTACCTACGCTGTTTTGGGGGTTCCTTGTCATATTTATGGTTTTATGGGCCCAAAACCCTATTCTAATTGTTAAGGCTGTTCAGGCCTCTATAGTGCCTTAAGCCGAATACTAGGCTGCATTGGTTTATGCTATACGATCTCATATCATTTTCCTTTGTATTCTATTTTACTATACTAGATTATGGTATGTTTTCGTATGATAGTCAGAACGTGGTTGCGGGGTAGCCAAGCTATAATGAGAGAGGGACTGTAGGGGGACAGCTGGACCAAGTCTTCCGACCTTTTGCGCTGAAAGCCTTTCACCCCAATATTATGAGAGGGATGTGCCCCTAAGCCCCCAAACCCTAAACCCTAAACCAAAGGGCCCTCAAAAGAAACCTTAAACCCTAAACCCTGAAACCCAAATCCCTAGAAGCCTTTCATTCCAGGAGTACGAGAGGGATCTGCGCAAGGCCATTGAAGCAAGTCTCAAGGACGCACCACCTGGCGCGCCCTGGCCCTGTTGTGAAGGAGGTGCTTACCTATCCAACCTTGACGACTTGCTGGTTCTGAAAGTTGTTGTATCTTGAAAGGTTAAGATCCCAAAGCCCCACAACCTCAAAACCCCAAAACCCGCACAGCCCAAACCCAACACCCTAATTTTTTTGCTTGGGTTATCAGGGAGCTGAGTAGTGCCCGAACCTGTGGGCCTCACGACATTTGGATTTCTTCACCGGGTTTGAACCCTACTTAAAGGTACATAACCCAGCTTCGGCTTTTGGAAATGGGATTACTTAAAGGATCATGGGACTTAGTAACTAGGGTAAAAGCAAGGTAACTCTACTCGAAGGTACTTTTAGCTCAACAAAGGTACGTATAACCTTACTTACTAAGTCTGGCAGGTAAACCCTCCCTAAACCCTAAACCCTAAACCCCTAAACCCTAAGCCCCTAAACCCCTAAACCCTAAACCCGAATCCCCTAAACCCTAAAACCTTAAGCGGAAGCCTTAAAGGAGCCCCAAAGCCCAGAGGCTTTCCTCCCCAAGTAAAGCCTCAGAGGGGCCCTGAGACCTCCCGCCCTGCCTAAGGAACTTTTGACTCCCTCAACTTTCTAAGTACAGGCCTGCATAAGAACTTACAAAAGGAAATAGAGTTTGGCATTGACTTGGAGCAGCGCATGGAAACGCCACCGGAAAGTTGACCTAACCGACTGCGTGCTCAGTTTCGCAGTGCCGCGCGGGCCAGGCACCCAGACAAAGCCGCCACGGCTAGCCAGCGGGAGCGGGCCACGGCACTTTTTCAACGGATCATGGGGAACAAGGAGAAACTGACTGCGTTCGTGCAGTCACGGCAAGAAGTTCGGGGAAACTTCGACAAGCCAGAGTGCCACTGCTTGTCTTGCCTGCAGCTGTACCGCCGTATGCGCAACTGCAGGTTTTGTATCGGCCGCGACACATCGAAAGGCCACATCCTCGAGAAGGGGACCAAGACTTCTATCTGCAAGCTCACCAAGACCAGCTCTTTTTTTTTTCGTAACAAGCCGCAGTTCAAGCCATTGTTCCTTGCCAAGATAGCGCATGGACGGTTTAGGGCTTAGGGAGGGTTTAGGGTTTAGGGTTCAGGGCCTTGTTTAAGGGACGTAGCTTAAGTTACCATACAAGGGATCTATAGTAAATAATGTGTTTTCTTCGTTATGCTAACTTAAGTATCATCCCTTAAATGTAACAAGAGCCCAGAAAAGGAAAGCATAATATGAAGGATTCCGCCCTGTTTAAGGGCTTATGTAAGGGCATGATATGAAGGAGACTCTAGGTAAGCCCTGACGTCTTCGGAACCGGGAGGTCGTGGGTTCAGGGTTCAGGGTTTGGGGTTCAGGGTTTGGGGACCAGGGTTTAAGGTTCAGGGTTCCAGGGTTTCGGGTTCAGGGTTTCGGGTTCAGGGTTTGGGGTTTTGAGTGCCAGGGGCTTTTGGGTCGGGGGCGTTCAGGTTAGAGAAAGGGTTGGATGAATTGGTAATCCTGTTCAGGGTTAAGGGGTAGGGGGTTTAGGGTTAAGCATCCAGGGTATACGGTTTAGGGTTTAGTCACCATACAAGCACCGTACAATATACCTCAAACCCTGTTCTAGTTGTTAAGGTGCATAAAGAGTATCAAGGGGTCCCAAAGACTCCAGTATCCCTTAACTAAGGAATAGTCCTTAAGTCATACAAGGGATCTTGCTATAATTTCAGGTACATTTCTTAATTAAGGTATATCAGAGCACCGTAGGGCCTAAATCCTATAGATCCCTTTAAGGATCCTTTGTAGATCCCCTTAAAGGAACCCTACGTATCTTAAAATCTCTGGGGCTTCGATCCGGGGAGCGAAGATAGGGACCCCCCCGAAGCCCATCTAACACACTGCATTCATGGGGACCATTAGGGGGTCGGGGGAGGGGGGGTAGGGTTTAGGGTTTAGGGTTTTTATCGGGTTTAGGGTTCAGGGTTTAGGGTTTAGGGTAGGTGGCCTTAATGCCCACGATAAGGACCTAAGCCCTAAGGGTCCCTATGATGCATTCCCGCCCTGGGACGACGAATGGAGACGAATTACTAAAGGTATAGGTCTGCCTTACTTGCACCAACCAAAGCCAATTCTGTCGGAGGGTCAGCATATATTGGTGTATATGAGGATGCTAGAAAACAGAGTAGGTGATTGCAGGTGACGCTAATGCAGAAGCCTTCATTATTGGTGACGTTTTTTCTTTCAGGGTTTGCTCGTTCCAAAACCCTAAACCCTAAACCCTGTGTCCTTCTTAGTGTGGGACCCGATG